CTACCCTGTTACAAAAATCCTTTGTCCATATGGAGTTGAAAGGGAATACTTGGTCCATTAGAAAACGCAGGAGGCATTAAAATTCATTATCGCTTGTCGAAAAGGACTCCTACCCTTATTAAAAAATCTCCTCCTCGGTCTCCATTACACACTTCTTTGACTTTGAGATACAAGGTAGTAATGGAGGACCAGGAAGCATGAGAGGGCGCAAAAATTTAGGCGGACAGGATGACATAATTTAGCTAAAAAATGGCGCCCCGTCCGTCGATTTTGAAGGAGAGCAGCATAATGCATAATCAAAATTTATGACTGCCTTTCGCGAATTCCTAACCAGCTTAGGTGGTGAGGAAAGTGTTTTATCCCTACTAAAGGACATCTAAAAAATGTCCAACCTCGTTCAAGCATTGAGAACAACCCTCGGACTCCACACTATGAATGCTTACCTTTGCTGATGTACCACCAGCTTATCAAGTCCACCTAACATGATTTTGATCCGACAAGGTTAAGCTTTTTGAATAGAAGCCATTTGAGATGTCATATGGATAAGAGTGTTCCCTTTCTAACCGACGGAAAAGGTGAAATAATGGCTAGAATACTAGTTTGTAGGTTATTGATGACACTCAAATTATAGTGTTTTTCGCTCGCATATTTTATACGTTTTCCCCTCCATTAATTTATTTTGCCATACTTTAGGTATAAATCATGACTATGTAATCAATGTGCACCTTGAAAAACGAGAAGGCACAATCCTATCATTGAGAGCGAGCGTGACTCAGTCAGGAAAAACTACATATTCATCCCTCACCTCCAGTGAGAGTAGTGGCTGACTATCTTGGGATAGTAGGAGATTGAGGATTCGGAGTGGTCAGATGCATAGGAAGAGGCCGAGGAGTCACAGGATATGGCAATGGAGATTGATGAGAAGCACGATATCGATGAGCCACCAACAATACTTCCTCATCCACTGCTCCAGTTTTCACCAGATACATAAAGAAGAAGGAAAGTAGAGCACTGGAACACAACACCTATGAAGAATTCTTCCAGTACCAGGGTTGTGGCACCAACATTCGAGACATATTGACCAGGCTGGCGACTGAATCTCTCGACATAAAAGGAGAGAGCATCAATATGTTGACACGAGAATTCTTGGAAACCTTGGAGGTGCAGCAGGTCAATAACTCTAGCCACACTGGTATTATATATCAGTTGGCAGAACAACGCTTTAAGGATTGTTACGATCGCTTCTTGGTGAATCTAGGACTCCTCTCTATCATGTCATTAGAGGAGCACTTTCAGAAAGCTTTTCTTATGAGATCTTGGGATCATGCACGCCAGAATGAACACTTCACCAAGATGTGGAGGACGATTTTGAGGAATATTACTTTGTTGCTGGATATGTTCATCCCACCGGCATCAACGACTCCTTCATGAGGTTCGTGCATTACTTTGTCCAACCATATTTCACATGAGATCGAGCATATATGGATGAAAGCTGACCATGACAGATATGCTAGCTACTACTATACAATTCATTGCTCAACAATTGGTGGCTTTTTCATCCAGGATGGAGGTTAAATTTGTAACATGGCCACTAAGTACATCAATGAGCATCATGACGAGTTTGGATTCACTCTCTTGGATACCTTAGCAAGGCATGGATACATCTTTAGACAGCCAACCTACCCCTATGGAGTAGACAGGATGACATTTATTGGAGTAGACCTTGATGAGAAAGATTTCCCCACTCATTATGCACGATGCTAACAAGGAAGCCAGTTGTGCGCTTGATTAGAGCATGTCATGAGATCAAATACCAGCAGAGGAGGTTGGACCATCACATTCAGCACCATCGAGGCAGGAGGAGAACCTACTCAAGTACCATCATCACAATGAGCAGTGTTGGGATTCTTATGATCATGATCATATAGATGAGTTAGGGAGACTCAAGCTTCGAGAGCATCAATGGAGGCACAATAGCGAGCTTTGGCAGAGTAGCCGAGGCAAAGCTTCAAGATGTTATGTATAGCCAGACGCAAGATTTTGACCAAAAGTTCAACAAGATCCTTTATATGCATAGACCAGGAGGAGGTGACCAGTAGAAGTTTATTTTCTCTTATTTTATGGGATTATCTTTCTTTTTATTTGTTTTTGCTTAGCTGGGAGATGAATCATTAGGTCTCTCCACTATCTATCTTTTTTTTTTGTCTTCTTATTTTGATACTCCATGAAAACAAAGGTGAACTACTCTAAACCTATTGTCTATTTGTGCTTTAATTAAGAATGACAAATTAGTTAAATGTTCCAATCCTTTCATTGCTCGCCTATGTTTTAGTCCATTGAGAACAATGTACAGTTTAAACTATGAAGGATGTGATAGTTAATGAGATGTTATGATTATATTGATATGTTTTGAATGTCATGATGTTCAATTCATTATAGATTATTACCTATCGAGACATAAATGTATCATTTGAAATTTGTCATGTTTCAAAAAAAGTGTGGGATAAGCACAACATGTGGGGCATCTATACATTGCACAAAATCAAATTTTGAAAGAGATACTAATCTAGTTTCAGAGCATGGATAAAGCTTCTGGCACCCTTTGATTTCATTGACCCTCAACCCGAATTGGGGTATAAGAGTTTTAAGAAGTACTTCGACGATGGCATATATACAGAATTTTCTCTTGTTAATAAGGATTTAATGTTGTAGTAAAGCTCCCTATACACAAAAAGGAAACCAATAATAGTGAAGAAAAAGTCAATAAAAATTGAAAATATATGTCAGTTGAAATGAAAAAGTACTTATGGGGTATGGTGAAAAGATGCTAGAAGCATTTCAAAGTTCTTAAATGTATTTGAACAGTTTCACCCTATGTATTTTGAAACTCGTGTATGGTTGGTGGCTTATGATTGAGATGAGTATCTTGTTTTTCGTGCATGTTGATATAGTTTGAGTCAGCGGTAGCCAAATTTTCATTTATTGTAGGTCAAAATGTGGCAGAAAATTTTCATTTACTTTGGCTTAACTTTTCACAAATCCGCATACATTCTGACAATATGGCTATGATAAAAGTCGTAGTCCTTATGCGAGATAAAAAAAATTTATGACGTTCGGATTGCAGAGCACAAAGTTATGGTCGTCCCAAGTTTGGCAAAATCAAAAAATTGCTCATTCGAAGTAGCAAATGACGTTTTTCCGAGACGAAGGCGGGACCAAACAGCCTTCGGCAATTCGTGACTAGCAAGACCTCAAAACGTTACGGAATCAAAAATAAAATTCACGATTACCGAATAACCAAGCTGACTCGACTCTACTGTCACCCTAGGAATTAGCCAAGTGTAACCACTTCCTAAAGCGTAGTATAGCGGGTTAGGTTTATATGTCAACCCGGGTCCTAGATCTGATGACTACTCAGTGAATTCTTGTTATCTAGCAATGAAACTGGAATGCAAGTCTAAACTATCAAACTAGCAAAGCAAGTAAACGGTTGTATTCAGGTTAAAGAGGTCACCCGGATATGGTTCCCCCTAGACTGTAGTTAAGCCGGATTGTAATTACCAAGTTCAGTTTCTAGGATAGTTATACTGCGGAAGGTTCTTAAACAGCCTGAAGTCTCGACTAAAGGTCTTCAGACCCTCTCAATCTGAATCTCTAGCGGGCGACTAACCTCCACCGGAGTAGACAGATTGAGGCCCTAAGAACGAAACCTCCACTACCGGAGTAAATCCGGTACAGAATAGTGAGTTGGTTCCTCGACTAAAGTCACCAACTCCCTACCTTCAATCAAGGATACTCTATTAACCTAGGCAGATATTCTCATTCTAGGTTAAAGGAGAAACAACAGGAATTTGCTCAGGATTCGAGTCATTCAATCATTAAAACCTCAATCGAATATAATCAATCATAGAATCAGTACTTGGGTTCATACAATCAAACCTAACATACAAATCTAGGGTTCTCCATACACAGATGAATGGACGAACTACTCCATGGAGAAGAAAGCAAAAGCAGAATCAGACGCGGAATTCATACTGTGAAGGATGGATTCCTGCTTCTGTATGTTGATCGGCACTTCTCCAAGCTCAAGCTGGCCTCCAATGGTGTTGAAGATCAATCTAGGGCACTTGGAGACTCTTGTTCGTCACTTTCTCTCTCTAGGAGTTGATCTCTCTCTCTAAAACTCGAATCCCCTTCTGTTTGGCTGAAAATCTGCTTAAAAAGGCATCAGTGGCCAAAGCACGGTCGAGGGCACGGCCGTGCTTTGCCTGAGCCTGCCCGTGTCTCAGCCAGTGTTAATTACACGGCCAGCAGTTGGGATAAACACGGCCGTGCTTCGCGTTGGACACAGCCGTGCTTTGGTGGAACACGGCCGTGCTTTGTCTCGGCCCTGCCCGTGTAATCAGCTCAGCTCTCGGCATAAAAAGCACGGCCACCAGAACACGGCCGTGTAATGCTTTAGGCTGCCCGTGTTTTGGCCCCAGCTTGACGAAATGACCTCTGAATGCCCCAAAACTCGTGGTTAGCCTTCCCTTTGACGCCTGGGACCTGAAATATGACAAAATAGCACAACCCGGCGTAAAATAGGCCAAAACACACGACTATGCCCCTCAAACGGATAAGAACTAGGGGCGCAAACATGTGCAATTACATCGTTATCAAACTCCCCCACACTTAACCGTTTGCTTGTCCCCAAGCAAACCTAACTCAAACCAATGCAACTCTCCAGACCTCTATAGCAACAAACAACCCAGATCTTAGGCAGAGGACTTCCTAGATCATTTAGCAACTTACGAGGTCAACCGACGCACAAGTCATCTCATAGCTTCTTCGGCGAGAGCACTAGTATCGAGTCGGCATCATGGCAAATAGTGAACAGAGGACAAATGAATTGTGGATGGAGAGATTCTCAAAAACAAAAGGCCATGGACTCACATTTTTCAAGGTGCTCTATTTTCTGCTTAAAGATGGTTGGAACCCCCTTTTTTTCCTGTTTTGCTTGTTTTCTGATATTTTTCTTTTCTTTTCTTTTTCAAGGGTCCCAACCTGCTCTTACCGGCCATGCCAGGAGCGGATGTCTCGAGCCTCGTGCGGGGGAATGACATGTAAGGGGGCTGGAGGTAGTAGGTGGAAATTGGGAACGAATTCCCGTCTCCCCTTACACACTTCCGCCCTATTCGCACGGGAGACGTTATTTTGAAGCACATTTTCGAGCAACTGTTAAACTCAAAACATGATACAAGAGTCCATGACAGGTAGAGAATCCACAGCACCACACAATTCAAGGGTCCTAAGATCACTAATTCACTCAATCAACCAACACAATATGAAGAAGAAATGAGATTTCTTAAATGCATCAACATCCTCCATAGTGCTACACTACCTCCCTAGGTTGCGTATTACTATAAAGACTGTCAATTCAAAGCATACTGAGCAGGCAATTGCAAGGAAACACGTACTTGGAGCCCTCAAATTTAAAAATTTGGACAGTGGACTAGGCTCCAAGTACACAAACAGATCTAATGCAGTCAAAAGATAAACACCCCCCCCCCACACTTAAGATCGACATTGCCCTCAATGGAGAAGAGGGAAGGATAAGGGGACGATGTTACCGGTATGCATGGACTGCAGGAGACTGGAAGCGGGCCAGTCGAGTGAAGCGGACTGGAGAGGGGACCAGTCAAGACACGCACAGCGAGAGGAAACCAAAGAGCTCAACACAAAATGTTAGTTCCAATGGTCAGCCCAATAAAACATCATCCAAACCAAAAGAAAAACAAACCAAACCCAAACCGGGTTACAATCCGACTCAAAACATAAGAAAGAAAATCAAACCGTGGTGGGGTTGCCTCCCCACAAGCGCTTCTTTACCGTCTTTTAGCTGGACGCCCATGGTGGACACTCAGGAAGGTGAAGGAACAGGTGCCTCCAAGAGCGGATCCACGTCGCTCTTGAGGTACAGCGTCAGGTTGTGGCCATGCACCCGCCGGATGCGACCACCATCATCAGTCAGCTCGACCTGGCCATCCGGCAAGATGCAGGCGAGTGAGTACCCGGACGGCCAGGGTGGTCGTGGTGCAGGAGGTGGGACCAGCTCATAGTGGTCTCCACTCTTCTTTCGTGCAGGCTTAGCAACCTGCTGCTTCGGCTGCCACTCCTCCTTGAGCTTTTTGTTCGGAGGCGTGGCTGGATGAAGTGGCGGCGAAGGAATGATAGGAGGGTCCTGCAAAATAGGAGGTGCAGAAGGGTACACGACAGACTCGTGTACCTGATCAGAAATGGCATGCACAGGCGTGACAGCAATCATAGCACAGTGATCAAATTCAGTCACAGAAAAAGTAGCTCGTTCATCCCCAGCACGCAAGATCAACTTACCATCATGCACATCAATAAGTGCCTTGGCGGTGGCAAGAAATGGTCTACCCAGAATCAAAGGTACATCCACATCCTCATGTATATCAAGAATAATAAAATCAACAGGATATGTGAATGCACCAACACTAACAAGCAGATCCTCTATGATTCCCCTAGGATGCACGATAGAACGATCAGCTAACTGAATGCTCATCCTAGTAGGGCTAAGTTCACCTAGGTCTAGCTTTTTATACAACTTATATGGCATGACGTTTATGCTAGCGCCTAGGTCCGCCAAGGACTTTCCTACATGCATGCTGCCAATAGTAAGAGGGATAGTAAAACTCCCTGGATCCTTGCGCTTCTCGGGCAGCTTGTTCTGCAGGATAGCAGAACACTCCTCGCTCAGCAGCACTGTCGAGAGATCCCCAAGTTTCTTCTTGTTGGTGCAGAGATCTTTCATGAACTTGGCATACTTGGGCATCTTCGACAGTGCCTCCACGAACGGTATGCTGATGTTGAGCTGCTTCAACATTGCCATGAACTTGGCAAACTCAGTCTCTAGCTTGTCTTTGTGTAGGCGAGTGGGGAAGGGAAGCTGGGGCACATGCTCCTTAACCACAGGTTGTGGCTTGGGAGCAGGGGCTTCCTTCTCCACCCGCACTTCTGCATCGTCGGCTGGAAGTGCTGAAGCAGGCAGTGGTCCCTCCTGTCTGGCCGGGACAGGATCAGAAGATATGGTCTTACCGCTCCTGGTGAAAATGGCATCCAGCTGCTGATGCTGGTGAGGATCTCGAGGATTCGGGACAGTGGTGGCAGGCAAAGTCCCCGGTGCCCTGGTGGTGTTCTGGCGGGCCAAGATGCCCACCTGGGTCTGCAGATCCTGCAAAATGGCACCCTGGTTCCTCTGACCTGCCTCCAGTAAGGCTACACTCTGGTCCAACCTCGTGATAGTCGCCTGAGTGCTCGTCATGAATGAAGCTAGAATGTTTTCCAGCTTCGTCATCCTGTCATCTGGGGATGGAGCTGCTGCTGGCTTGGCAAACTGGCGCTGGGGCTACTGGAATGCCTGCCCCTGCCTAGGCTGGTAGGGCTGCTGCTGTGGGTCTGGACCCTGGCGAGCCTGGAAGGGCTGCCTCTGCTGAAAACCACCTGCTGGTGCTAGGAAACCGGGTGGTTTAGTGGTGTTGCTGCTCCAGGCGAAGTTGGGATGCTGGCGCCACCCCTCATTATATGTGTTACTGTATGGATCGACGCGCCGCGCATTGGCGATGAAGGCCAACTACTCCTGGGGTGTGGTAGACTCCCTCATAGCCTGGCAGTCCTCCACTAGATGATTGGAGCTCTCGCACCACTGACATTAAGCAACTGGAGGTGTAGTCATATCTCTGCCCGGAATAAGACTGTTGGGCTGCTTCAATGTCTGCACTAGCTCAGCTACCTGCTGCTTGAGCCCGGATCTGGACTCCATGGCGTGGACACCACGGTCCCGGCAATGTCTGCCTCGGCTGCTCTGCCCCCAAGAATGATCTCTGGCAACCAAAGTATTAATCATCTGGTTCAGCTCTGGTGGAGTCTTAGTGAGAACATCCCCTCCTGGGCATAAAGACTCAATCACCCTCTGGCTATCTGGAGAGAGGGCACTGTAAAAGTTCCCCACTGTGAATGCATCACTGAAGCCATGATGGGGGCACTGCCAGAAGTAGCCCATGTACCGCTCCCAAGCATCACGTAGTGACTCATCTGGCTCTTGGCGGAAATGAGTGATCTCCCACTGAATCTCTGTAGTCTTCGATGCTGGATAATACCTGTGCACGAACTTGTCAGCCAGATCGTCCCAAGAGGTGATGGACAATGGGGGTTGGGTCTCCAACCACCTCTTAGCATTCCCCGCCATAGAATGGGGGAAGAGATGAAGGCGGATTGCATCATCCGGGACACCATTCAGCTTGAACCCGTTCGTCAGCTGCAGAAAACGGGAAAGATGCACCCTGGCCTCCTCATCCTTCAAGCCATGGAACTGGATAGAAGATGTAATGAGCTGAATCCAGCATGGCTTGATCTCGAAGTTATTTGCTTGAATAGGCGGGTAGAGGATGACCGGGCGGATGTCAGCAATCCGAGGAGTGTAGTAGTACTCCAAGGTGGGACCCGGCTGCGGTGGATGATGAACTCCATGATCCTGGGGTATGGGGTTGTTCCCCAGGACCGGATTCACCGGGGGAGCCTGCTGAGGATTCCCCTGGTGTTGATTGTAGTCTTCCATCTCGTACTCCTCCTCAGAATCACTGCTCACGTGGCCGTCTATGCGCTCTTCCGTAGCCAGTCTAGCTCGCTGTTGTCTCCTGAGCCGGCGACAGGTGCGGTCCATCTCTGGATTCAACGGCAGTAAACCTCCCGACTGGCTACGGGTCATGCACTACCTGCACACACTCAAGCAAGCAAACCCGTGAAGGCACAAGTGGGACAAAGCAAACAAAGAAAAAAGAAAAGCTAAATTAACAGAAATCACTTTTCTACAACAACCTAGCCGTCCCCAGCAACGGCGCCAAAAACTTGACTCGACTCTACTGTCACCCTAGGAATTAGCCAAGTGTAACCACTTCCTAAAGCGTAGTATAGCGGGTTAGGTTTATATGTCAACCCGGGTCCTAGATCTGATGACTACTCAGTGAATTCTTGTTATCTAGCAATGAAACTGGAATGCAAGTCTAAACTATCAAACTAACAAAGCAAGTAAACGGTTGTATTCAGGTTAAAGAGGTCACCCGGATATGGTTCCCCCTAGACTGCAGTTAAGCCGGATTGTAATTACCAAGTTCAGTTTCTATGATAGTTATACTGCGGAAGGTTCTTAAACAGCCTGAAGTCTCGACTAAAGGTCTTCAGACCCTCTCAATCTGAATCTCTAGCGGGCGACTAACCTCCACCGGAGTAGACAGATTGAGGCCCTAAGAACGAAACCTCCACTACCGGAGTAAATCCGGTACAGAATAGTGAGTTGGTTCCTCGACTAAAGTCACCAACTCCCTACCTTCAATCAAGGATACTCTATTAACCTAGGCAGATATTCTCATTCTAGGTTAAAGCAGAAACAACAGGAATTTGATCAGGATTCAAGTCATTCAATCATTAAAACCTCAATCGAATATAATCAATCATAGAATCAGTACTTGGGTTCATACAATCAAACCTAACATACAAATCTAGGGTTCTCCATACCCAGATGAATGGAAGAACTACTCCATGGAGAAGAAAGCAAAAGCAGAATCAGACGCGGAATTCATACTGTGAAGGATGGATTCCTGCTTCTGTACGTTGATCGGCACTTCTCCAAGCTCAAGTTGGCCTCCAATGGTGTTGAAGATCAATCTAGGGCACTTGGAGACTCTTGTTCGTCGCTTTCTCTCTCTAGGAACTGATCTCTCTCTCTAAAACTCGAATCCCCTTCTGTTTGGCTGAAAATCTGCTTAAAAAGGCATCAGTGGCCAAAGCACGGTCGAGGGCACGGCCGTGCTTTGCCTGAGCCTGCCCGTGTCTCGGCCAGTGTTAATTACACGGCCAGCAGTTGCGATAAACACGACCGTGCTTCGCGTTGGACACGGCCGTGCTTTGTCTCGGCCCTGCTCGTGTAATCAGCTCAGCTCTCGGCATAAAAAGCACGGCCACCAGAACACGGCCGTGTAATGCTTTAGGCTGCCCGTGTTTTGGCCCCAGCTTGACAAAATGACCTCCGAATGCCCCGAAACTCGTGGTTAGCCTTCCCTTTGACGCCTGGGACCTGAAATATGACAAAATAGCACAACCCGGCGTAAAATAGGCCAAAACACACGACTATGCCCCTCAAACGGATAAGAACTAGGGGCGCAAACATGTGCAATTACATCGTTATCACAAGCACAAAGTTACGTTTGTTTGAAGTTCCAACCTAGGTAAGGCATTCATCGAGAGAGAAAAAAAACTTATAGCTTTTTCACATTCCTACATATATTCATAAACTAGCACAACCGTAAAATGAGCAGGGGTCCGGCAACCAATCAAATCGGATAATGAACCGCAAGGTAATATAGTCAGGACGGAGAAGAACTGGATCATCTGATCGAAACTTTTAACTCCAAGTCGTTCGTCTTCATATCTTGTTTGATAAAATCTGCTACAAGACTCATAGCGATATCTGTCGGAAAAAGTGGAGGATTAAAGAGTAATAGTTTCATGACTATCTCAACCTATATATAATAAAATCATGAATTCTATGCTAGAATAATTATAACATTAGATCAACTATAAAAATCCAACATTGTTATGATAATCGAAAACTTACTGTATCCACCGAGAAGTGAACTTTTGAATGCTACAATGACGAGAAGGATGGCAACTTAGGCACTTTCATCAAAAACCATGCAATTATGTTCTTCAAGTTATTTATAAAAGAAATTAATTGAGTGGGACAGCAGTGAAGAAAGAGAATAGAGGCTTATAGACTTTCTTACTTACTGTTTGATTTTTAAGCTCCCATTGAGTTGTAATGCAGGAAAATAGAGAGAAAGAATAAGTGGCCTTTACTGTTTGTTTTTAATGGGAGAGAACTAGAAAGTTGAACATTTTCATAAGTTAAAATGAGTAAACACATCTCAAGAGCAGTCAAAAGTTCTTCCTATCATAGAGTCACTCTCAAACTCAGCTCTTTCTATCCCACTTGTTTCTTTATCATGGAGAGAGGTTTTCGGAAAAGAGGAGGAAAAAGAGAAAGGGTAAAGACAAAAGAGAAATAATGATTAAACTATAAACATATCGCATTGTTTTTTCTCTCTTACAAGATCTAAAAAAGTTATGCAGAATAAAAAAAAATTGACAATCTAATAACCAAGCAGAAAGTTATGTTCGTTTGAAGTTTCAACCAAGCTAAGACATCAATCGAGAAATAAAAACTTATAGGCTTTTTAAATTTCTATATATTTTAATAAACTAGCACAACCTTATAAACATGTGTGACAACCTTAATCCAAATATGACAATAGTAATTCTAATTAATGCCTTTTATTTCCAACTCGTTCGTCTTCAGATCTTGTTTGTTAAAATCGGCTACAAGACTCATAGAGATATCTGTGGGAAAAAGATTAAGATTAAAGATTACTCGTTTCATTTCCATCTCAACCTATATATAATAAAATCTTGAATCCTCATTTAGAATAATTATAATATTATAAAAAAATCTAAACAAACAACATTGTTATGATAATAAAAAAAAAACTTATTGTATCTACCGAGAAGTTAACTTTGTCCTGCTACAACCACAATATAACTATAATAATTACTGTTATAATTAATCCAAATATAACAATAATACTATGATAAAAAACTTATTGTATCTACCGTTGTGATAACATTAATCCAAATATAACAATAATAATTACAACAATAACAAAGTTCAAATGTCTGTCGCTTTCCCGACCTTCTCAACCCAAATTAACAAATACATGCACCAAGCTACTACATAGCATATGTCACATAATCTCAAACCATATTAACAAACACATGTATCAATCTACTACACAATAGATGTCCACAAATTCTAAAGTCCACGAATTTCAAATTTGTAATCTCAGCAATGTATAATGGGCTGATCGGAAGCATATGTCTGAGAGCTAGAAAAGTAAGTAAACAAACGTCCCATTATGAACGTAGTACTGATATAGCAATTTTCATCACAACACTATTATGATAATAAAAACTTACTGATTTAAATTGCTATATCAGTATCTACGTTGATAATGAGAAGTTTGCTTACTTATTTTTCTAGTTCTTAGACACACATATTTCCAATCAGCCCATTATACATTGTTGAGATTACAAATTTGAGATTCGTGGATATCTATTGTGTAGTAGTTTGGTGCATTGTTTGTTAATTTGGAACCATAAACTAAAAAGAATAACGTATTGAGCTTTGGAGCCCCAATTGGAGGGACGTGGCAGCTGGTAAGCAAAAGAAAATAGACGAGTTAAGTTTTAAATTTACGATGTAGTAAATATTTGGTTTATCACTAACCTCGGGGGTACAACTCAAAAATCCTCAAATTTTGGGCGTAGCAATTGAAGCTATGTAGAGCGGAAGGTGGGAAGTGCGAGTCCAAGGCACAAAACACTCAGCATGCATCCCATTACCAGCATAGACACTCATGCAGTGCAACAATGTTCATCAAGAAGTATCCCAAAAATGCTAGCATCCCAGTGATAATCAGCAGGGGACTGCGACCAATCCAGCTAACAATGCTCCAGAAGGCAGCATGGTGAGAACAGAGAGGAACTGAACTCTGTCCACAAAGCATGTTTGATATATTACTTTCATATCAAGGTCTTGTTCGTTGAATTTAGATACCAGACTCATAGAGACATCTGGAGGGAAGAAGAAGAAGAAGAATTGTTACTTTCTCAAGTCCAAACAGAGATACTTTTAACAAATCAATATATGACTAGTTTAAATATGTAATCCTATTACGAAAATTGAAAGACATTGCGTAACCACTAAAAAGTGAAGACTAGCAGGCCACACACGCAAGTAGAACGGTAAATTTTCTCACTTGTACCGAAAATCATGTCATCTTCTATTCAAACGTTTGAGATGAAAATTAAAGAATAAGAGGGATGAAGATGAAAAACAGAGAAAATGATCAATTATTGGGGTTGGGTGAGACCGTGAGAGTAAAAAGTAAAAACACCATGAAACTCTTCTATTTCGTGTCACAATCTCATTCCTGTTTTCCTTTTTTCCACATTTTCTATCTTAGACCACCCACTCTGGGGTGGGAAAAGGAGGGTAAAAAGAAAGGAAAGGCTTACAATGGAAGGGGGAAAGAAGGAAAAAAAGGGAAAGAAAGAAAATGACGGAGTAACTTTGTGTCACAAAAGAACAAAAGAATGAGGGGGTGGTGAGACCCACTTTTTTTTGGGGTTTTTCTTTTTCTTTTCCTTTTGTTTTTGTTTTAATTTTTTGTATTTTCAAAATCGTAGATAACATCTAACGATCAGAATTAAATCTTAATGTCATATTTTTCAATGATTATATTTTTCAGTAGGCTTTTTTAATTAATGACTTCATCATATTTAATTAACGACGAAAAAAATTATGTCCAAATTAAAACAAAAATTATATAACAATATTTGTCTTAATTAATTATTACTAACTATATAGAAAGATTGATCAAATTATTTAAGTAAAATAAAACAATCAACACTAAACTAATTTTATTAAAAAGCACTCCTCTCACTTTTCCTCCCAATCCATTGTAGGTTTTCTCAACCAAAAAATTCATTTTTTCATTTTATTCATCCAACCATTGTGAGTGGTCTTAAAAGAGAGATATTTTTCTGGGGAAAGCAGAGGGAGGAAAGAAGAGAAACAAAGAATAAATAGAAAATAATGTTGAAGCTCGCCATGTCCATTCAGGGCTCCTCACAATCATATTCTTTGTGCTGAATGTGTATAAGTACAAGTAGATATCCCCCAGCGATTGTTATTCCAATAGCTTCTCTCTTTCTGTTTCCCCCTCCCTCTATTGTTGTAGCTACAGTCGATCATCCTGCCGAACTCCAATCTTTCCTCTTCTTCCTCTCTGTTGTAGTCCATTTTTTTGTTGCAACTGCCATCTTCTCCCATTCTCGCCTCTCAGATCCCAAAATTAGCCTTTGTGCACATGGAGTCAATAACTAGCTGATGCTTTGACCCCACTAGCTTCGTCACCAATGACGACGACCTTTCACACCCTCTCCCTCCGCCGCCGGCTTTCATGCCCGCCGCCGCCGGAGGTAACAACCAAACCAGCGTGTAGTTGGCCGACCTCTCAAATTCCCAATACCACCATAACAGAAGGTACTTCTTCAACTATTAAGAACTGCAGGTATATGGTTTCTGATGAAAAGTTGTAGCACCCAAGTTACAAAGATGAAGCAGACTTTAATGAGATACTCAATGCCCAAATAATTAAGGAGCATAATATTGACGAATTGGGCTGAATTATAAAGCCCACTCTCTTTTCTTTTCATCTGTGCAATTCTTCTTCTCTTTTTCCTTTGGTTTGATAGAGTGCAGCAACAGCTTGATAGAAAGGAAACAATAGCCTTGTATTAACTATTATAATGTATATATAACAAAAAGAAAGAGAGAGGGAAAGATGATCCTCAATTTCTCTTGCCCTCAACCTTTGTCTCGTCTCATGGTATCAGAGCACCGCCTTCATTGCTTTTTAGGGTTTCTTCATCTTCACAACTGATTTTCTAGTTTTCTTTTTTCATCAATGGAAGCATTTGACAGCACCCCTGCTGTCTATTTGGGGAGTACAAGCAGCACCAACCTCAATCAACAAAACAACACAATCAAGGAACATCTCATGGCCGCCCCTTTCTACTAGCCCAATAGTAAGAATCCAACATGTCTTTTAGCACCTCAAGTTATGTATTCACAGCAAGATTCTGGGAATTCATCTATGTTGAATCGTTGTCAAGAGATCCCAAATGAGACTAGGAGATTGGGTCTCAATCAAGAACAATATGAACAGTCAGCTGCAAGATTTCGTTCAAGCTCCATCCATCGCTCCTGAATTCTCTCAACCCATTCATGGATATTCTTCTCATCCTCATGTTAATTCTGCTGCTGAATCCAATCCCACTATCTCAAATCCAACAGGTACTCAGTCTAATCATCTTAGAACATATAAATGGACGTTAGACACTGGGGTAATAGACCATATCATTTGTAGCCTTAGTTTCTTTGCTTCCCACCAGCCTATATCCGACATTTTCATCACACTGCCTAATGGATATCAACTCCCTGCCACCCATGTTGTAACTGTCATGTTCTCTAGTTCCTTGATCCTTACCAATGCTCTTTACGTGCCTTCCTTTAACTTCAATTTGATCTCAGTAAGCAGATTACCTACAAGCCTACCTATTTGCTTGTCCTTTTTCTCTCATGTGTGCAATATGCAGGACGTTGCTTTGGGAAAGAGGATTGGTATAGCTAAGCTTCACCAGGATCTTTATCATATGGAACCCAACATTGTCTCTACTCAATATGCCACCTCTCACACTGTTCTTGCCAAACTCTACCAGCCGCCCAAAGATTTTGACCTATGGCATTTTCGCCTAGGCCATCTTTCTCATTCTAGAATTAGCCATCTCTGTCAAATAGATGATAGTATAGTTAGCAATCCCAGACAAGAGTGTGTTGTCTGTCATTTTGCTAAACAATGACGATTGTCTTTTCCCTTAAGTACTTCCATCGCCAACAAGCCATTTGAGTTCATACATATTGATACTTGGGGTCCCAATTCTCAAGTTTCTTATGATGGTTTCTTGTATTTTCTCACTATAGTGGTTGACTACTCTCGTCTTACTTGGTTAATGATGATGAAATCCAAAGCTGAGGCTAGAGAACACATTAGAAGCTTTTGTGCTTATTCTGCCACTCAATTTGGAGTTAAGGTGCAACGCATTCGTAGTGACAATGCCCGTGAGTTTGACAAGTCTGAATTTTTTTTGCCTCAAATGGTATAATCCATGAAACCTCTTGCGTCGAAACTCCGTAACAAAACAGTCGAGTCGAACGCAAACACCAACATATACTCTCTGTTGCACGAGCCCTTAAATACCAAACTGGCTTATCAATTTTCGGAGTGATTGTGTTCTTCATGTCGTTCATTTGATCAATCTTCTCCCTTCTCTTGTGCTTGCCCACCAAACTCCTTTTACAAAATTTCATAATGCTGAACCCCGTTACCATGAACTAAAAGTATTTGGTTGCCTTGCATATGCTTCCACCCTTCCTAGTCAACGCACAAAATTCACTTCTCGAGCTAGGGAGTGCATTTTTCTTGAGTTTTCTTTTGGGACTAAAGGCTATAAACTATATGATCTCCATTCCCGTGATACATTTATAATTCGTGATGTCATATTCTATGAACATATTTTCCCTTTCCGTTCTGTTCCCAATCCAGATTCTGATCTTGGTAGACCCTCAACAACCTTAAACCCCATTTCTTACTCTTATTTTGAACCTACTGTCCTACTCAGTCACCCCCTGATATTCCTAATCCTTCAAGTTTTTCTCATGTTTCCTCATCTAAAGAAGATACTTCTTCTTCTTTAGCTCTGGAGTCCAGTCCTCCAGCCACACCTTTTCAATACTCTCATCTCCATCTACTTGTGATAATGATGATTCTACAGCTCCTGAAAGTGAATCTGATCTACCCCGTCATTCTCCTAGAAAATCCAAACGACTATGTAGGCCACCAGATCATCTCAAGGACTACCATACCAGCCTTCTTGCATATTATGGCTATACCAATCCTCCCCCAACTCAGCAGCAAGTGTCCATTGCAGGTAACTTTCATGATCTTTCTATTGTTCTGTCCTATGAGAACCTTTCCCATTCCTTCCGCCATTTTTGTCTTTCTGTTAGCACTCTTGTTGAACCCTCTAGTTTCAAGGAAGCATGTAATAACCAGGTTTGGGTTGATGCTATGCAAATTGAACTCAATGCTCTTGATGAAAACTGTACTTGGGATTTAGTTTGTCTACCTGATGGCAAATAGGCTATTGGTTGCAAGTGGGTGTTTCGTATTAAACTTAAAGTCGATGGAACATTTGAGAGATATAAAGCAAGGGTTGTGGAAAAGGGTTACACACAACAGGAAGGTTTAGATTATACTGAAACTTTTGCACCAGTTGTCAAGATGACAACGGTGAGAGTTTTGTTGGGAATTGCAGCAGTTCAGGGGTGGCACATCCATCAACTGGATGTTAATAATGCGTTCTTGCACTAAGATTTACATGAAGATGTATATATGAAATTGCCACCAGGTTTGAAAGTAGCACTTGAAGATAGAGGAAAAGTATGCAAATTGAAGAAATCACTTTACGGATTGAAGCAAGCATCTCGTCAATGGTTTGCTAAACTCACCCAAGCCTTATTGATGATATGCTTCAAGCTGGACCTGATCTTGCAGAGATTTGTCGTGTCAAGAGCTTTCTTGACTCCACTTTTCACATTAAAGACTTGGGTAGCCTGCGGTATTTTTTGGGGCTTGAGGTAACAAGAAGCAAAGCTGGTATACATCTTACTCAAAGGAAGTATGCACTGGAAATACTGCATGAAGCTGGAATGATAGATTCCAAGCCTATGTCTACTCCTATGGAGCCAAAAATGCATCTATCTACACATGATGGTTCAGCATTGGTGGATGCCACAAATTATAGAAGACTTGTAGGGAAGTTGATTTATTTAACGAAAACTCGGCCGGACATTTGCTTTTCTACGCAACAACTCTCACAATTTCTGGACAAGCCATCAGTATAACACCAGCGAGCAGCCCAAAGAGTTTTGAGGTATGTCAAAGGGGCTCCTAGTCGGGGTCTATTCTTTCCGGTTACTTCTGATTTTCAGTTACATGGTTTTGCGGATTCGGATTGGACAGGTTGCCCAAATACTCGACATTCTGTATCGGGGTATTATGTGTTCCTCGGTTAGTCACTCATTTCATGGTGTTCTAAGAAGCAAAGCACTGTATCGCGGTCTTCGGCTGAAGCTGAATACAGGGCAATGGCTTTTGCTTCGTGTGAACTACAATGGATTTTGTATCTTCTCGATGATTTTTGAATTTCACATCCTCAAGCTGCCCTTCTTTATTGTGATAACAAGACAGCCATGCATATCGCCAAAAACCCGGTATTTCATGAACGGACAAAGCATATAGAGCTCGATTGTCATCTCATACGTTTGAAGATTCAAGAAGGTATCATTAAAACCACCTATGTCTCTACTACTTCTCAATTGGCTGATTTGTTTACAAAGACTTTGGGACCTGCTCCATTTCATCACCTTTTTCCAAGCTTGGACTACACAATCTATGTATTCCAGCTTGCGGGGGAGTAATAGAAGGTACTTCTTCAGCTATTAAGAACTGCACGTATATGGTTTCTGATGAAAAGCTGCAGCACCCAAATTACAAAGATTAAGCATACTTGAATGAGATACTCAAGGCCCACTCTTTTTTCTTTTCATCGGTGCAATTCTTCTTCTCTTTTCCCTTTGGTTTGTTAGAGTGCAGCAGCAGCTTGTTAGAAAGGAAACAATAGCCATGTATTAACTATTATAATGTATATATAACAAAAAGAAAGAGAGAGGGAAAGAAGCTCCTCAATTTCTCTTGCCCTTAACCTTTGTTTCGTCTCACCACCTTTTTAACCTACCCACATGCTCCGCCTCCCCCTCTTCTCCCAAATTTCTCCATCTCCTTCACCACCGCTGACCCCAGTTCCTCCCTTCCCATCTCCGACGAAGCTCACTCTGCCTTTTCCCTCCACTACGACCCGCTTTCCTACCTCAACCTACCGCTGCAGCCGCCTCTCTTCAGGGATCTGTTCCAGTACCTCCCCTCCGACGGCGGAGTCGATCTCCATGGGGAAGGAAGCAGCGTGGGCGGCGGTGCCTCGATTTACGCTGCAGATGGGATCGATGGATCTCATCAGCTGGACAGCAACGTTTTGGAGTTTAATTGAAACATGACGGCTTGTCTAGCGAAAGGGAGGGCAGTTGGAAGAATGGCCAAGCCACTGACAACATAGTGCCAGAGGAGGCAGCAAATTAATGGTAAGTTCGACATCCTCAGGAATTTGATTCCCAATCCTACCTAGGTAAAGCCATGTTAACATTGAAATGCAATTTTCCCGACATTCCTTCAATTTTAATAGTGCGTTGCGTTCATGGCTGGTGTGTTTGTGAGGTTTGTGCCAAAAAGACCGACAAAGCTTCTATAGTGGGAGAGGCCATTGGCTACATCAAGGAGCTTTTAAGCACAATAGAGGAACTGAAGTTGCTGGTGGAGAAGAAGAGGTGCAACAGATAGAGGAACAAGAGGCACAGGACGGATCAAGAGGACGTGAAGGAGAGCTCGTTGGAGGAGATGAAAGCTTCATTCGCAGCTGCCGAGGTTGATGACCATGACAAATCCTACTATGGGTCGACATTGAGGAGCTCTTGGCTTTAGAGGAAGTCTAAGGACACGGAGATTGATGTGAGGATCATTGAAGACGATGTGACCATTACGTTGGTTTAGAGGAAGAAGATCAATTGCTTGTTGTTTGTTTCAAGGGTGCTTGATGAACTTCATTTGGATCTTCACCATGTCGCCGAAGGCTATGTGGGTGATTATTACAACTTCCTCTTCAATATGAAGGTTTGCCTAGTCTTTTTTTTTTCTTTTTCATTTTTCTTCTTGTTGGCTTAGAGTTAAGTTTCTGCTATCGTGTTTCCCCTTTCCATGTTGGTAACTGAGCCTACATAGTTAAACTTATTCTTTTTGTTGTTTTTAGCAAATATGTGAAGGGTCTTCTGTGTATGCAAGTGCCATAGCCAACAATTGCTACTGATGATCCTGAAAGGGGCCATTTTAATTAGGGTTTATGAGTCGGGTATTCAGATTTTCACATAAGGGAGCTAGAGCAAAAAGAGGCTCAAAAGAATCCATGCACTACAACAGTTTAAACTACTGGAAAGAGATTTGGTAGACATCAATGCAATAGTTGGTAGTTGTATGAGCAAGTTTTTATGTGTAAAGACATTGCTAATACCAGTTGGGGAAATTATATTAAATAATTGATATTGATCACTAATTTCCCCTATAGATGGGGCCTCACATAAGTTGCATGATCGTAATGTTAGTGCTAGTCGGTTAACCATCTGTTGTATATATATATATACACACACACACACATACATATGGTGCCTTCTACGATACCTCAGGTGAAATTCGGGGTACCGCATACCTTGAGTATGAAAACGCTATTTAGACCTCGAATTAGCAGGATTTTTGACATGAAATTATACCCTAATCCTTAATGAGTGGAACCTAGGTCCTAATTATCTAAATCATAAAATATAAACCCTAAGATGATGCATTGATTTCTTTGCCAATATTTGGAAGAATCATAACCATCGATTATTGTTTCTAATTAAATTGATCTTGGGGTATACGATTTAGAGAATTATGACCTAGATTTTGATCTTTAAGGGTTAGAGTATAGTATCATGTCCGAAAGATCGGTCAATTCAAGTCCTAGATAGCATTTTCTTACTCAATGTATGCGGTACCCGGGATTTCACCCTGGGTACCGTAGAACTCCCCATATATATAGGTGGCTACTTCGGTGCACTCACTTTTTTGGGTGCATTCAGTGCATTCAACTCTAAAAGTGGTAATAATACATCGAATTTTGAATTTTAATGGGTTGCATTAGTCTAAGATGATGATATAATATAAAATCACAACTAATCAATCCATTATCATAACCCTTTAACCAATTTTGAGTTCCAACCCAAAATCTCAAATTGTAAACCCTAACCCTAAATCATTCAAATTAAAGTAAATCTTGAATGATTTTTATACAAATTCATGTGTTTCTTGTTCATCAAACTACAAGTGTTGACTAATATCATTTTCAAATGAATCGCCTTCTCGGAATGATGGTTATGAGGCGAGTGCATTGAATGCACCCAAAATAAGTGGGTGCACCGAATACGCTACCATATATATGTTGATGGCTTGTATTGTTAATGTTGCATGTTTCAACTGTAAGGGATACTGTTAATTGCTTAATGAATGGGGTTATGGCTCTCTCTTATTTTTTATTAGCCTCTTGTATTTCACACTGCATTCCTGTTTTTTTACTATTAATGCATGCAGTCCTGTGGAGGTCTCATTTTGACTGTCACTCTCAGTACTAAGGGGCTGTTTAGCTGTGGTAATTGGGGTTAGTTTTCTCAAAATGCAGTAGTTGGACTCAATTCTCCTGTTTGGGTATACATAAACCACGGTGGAATTTGAGTCGAAACCCCCCACCGACGCAGAAATTAGAATTCTGACAATCCACAGCAAGCCTCTATGTTGATTCTCCCAGTTAATGGTGCCCACTGCCTGTTGCGTTGTATACTACTCTATATTTCAAGAGAACTAAGTTCCTATTTCTTTTTTTTTTTTTTTACCCAGTACTATTGTTGTCGGGTTGGTAGGGGCATAATTAGGGAGCAGATCTTATTTTCACGCCCCCGAAATTTTTGGTTGAGATATGGCCTTTGATGGAGCGGTTGATGAAAAGCCAATATTTTCTCTTCCTGGAGTCGTACTGCTGGTGGCACAAAGAAGAATGAGTAGCACCCAAACAGATCTTCAAGGTTTAGACAGTGAATCAGTTTGTGCCATTGCTGAAATTAGGGGTGTGCAACGGGAAATGAGTATTTGGGTATACCCATACCGATCCCATTTTTTGAGGGTTACGGGTACCCAAATACCCGTAAATGTTTTTACGGGATGGGACTTAAGATCAAGAATGACTACTTTAAATACCCGCGGTTATCCGTTAATACCCGTTTGGATGTTACGGATACCCGTTATACCAATTATTATGCCAAAGTTAAATGAATCGAGTACATCAGAAATGGCAAAGTTGAATTGAGCAGAAGTGAACAAAATATAATTGCGTATCAGAAGTGTCCGAGACTGACTCTTACCACAAATCTCTCTCAACTCTGGTAATTTCATGGATAAAGCATCAGTAAGATAAGAACACTTGCTTCATTTTTCATTTGCAGCGTCTCCTTTTATCTAGATCAAGTTTGCTTGGCAGCATTTCGTACGTAACGATAGCACAATTGTTTTTGCACGCAGTCAACGGTGCTACTCCTAACTGTCGCCAATTGTACGGGTAGTATGGGTACCTGTTATCCGTCTCGTACGAGTAATGAGTACTCGTTAACCCGTACGGGTTTGGGACATGAGATAAAAATTGCTCTCAAAATGGGACCGGGTACCCGTTTCAAACGGGACGGGTTATCCCGTTCCATCCCATTGCCCACCTCTAGCTGAAATCAAATAAAGGGGAGGCCAAATTCTAATGCCAACTTTCAACAAAGTATTTCCAAAACCATTTGACAGCACTTGATGCAGGTTGGGCAGTTGCAAGTCCTGCAAATCCAGGGCCCGGGAAGCAGATATGGCAACCAAGGCAGAACTCTGAGAATTCTGATTTTGACATCTCAGCACTTCTGTAGCACACTACTCAAACAAACAGCCAGACCTTATTCTGGGAACAGAAAAGCTGCTGAAGCTTCTAACCTACCATTTGGAGCACCGAGCAACCCGTTGATGAAGTTAGGGAATTGCCTCGGTAACTTTACAGGTGTACAACCAGAACAAGAACATGTTGCAGACCTTTGCTTTCTTATTTACATTAGTGGTTCTAGTCTGAATTGTTCATGAGGACTCCAGCCTGTTGGGCAAGAAAACTTTCAAATGAGGGGCTGCAGCAGACGTTTGAATTGTGTCTCCATACTGAATACTATGCACAACGTTGGAACCGTCAATGTATAGAAATCCCTTCTCTGAGGACCAAGTCATCTCCATGGCCTCGTCTGGCTTCATAGTCCCATGCATCATCAAGCTAGAAACAGCAGTTGCAGGTGAAATGGGTTCTCGAACCATGTATTGGAGGTCTTGCGATAAGATCGGCATCCCGAACCCACCTGCTGAGAGCATTGCAGCTGTTGAACCGGCAGCAGTTGAGACTCTGATGCCACTTGATCTACAGTGCACTAGTGGCGTACTTGATTTGTCACCCCTTGTAATCCTGCCAAAAACAAGGAAACAAGATGGATAACATCCCAGCAGCGTATTTGGTTTTCTAGCAAACAGGAAAAAGGCCCCTTTACCTAAATGAAAATCGAGAGACTGTTGCAGGGCATGGGTGTGCTACCAATATGTCGTTAAGGGCAAACGTTGATAACAGCTGTGAGTTTACTCGTATCGACATCCTCAACAATTCGGAAGGCTGTTTACGACCGTCTAGGATATCATCTAGAACCTGAATAGATTTGTGTCAGCTAGGAATGAGGAAGGACACGATGTCTCTTTAGCAGAAGAACGATTTCAATCATACTATAACAAACACACAAGGTAAGTTTTTACCTGTTCAAAGTTATTCATAGTTGCCGCACACAGGTAGCCAGTGCTCCTGGTAGCATCAAAATCGTCATCAAATTCCTCAACCTACAAGAGAAGGCACTGAAATCAAGTGTAAAATGCAGCAAACTCCCAGATGCTACATAGACTGGATCAAGAGCCCTACCTCTTCAACTTTAGTTGGGTCTGAGTTCACTCCAAGAACAGGAATTGAATCGCCCATGAAATGACTTGCTTTCAGAAGAGTGCCATCACCACCAACAGTAACAACAAAATCAAAATTATGAATTAGTTGAGACAGGTTAGCACGTAAAACCGGTTCCCAATCAACTGCCTTCCTCTGTAAAATGCTCTGACAGAAGTTCACAGCTTCTTTGTGGACCTTCCGCCTATTATCTAGGAATTGAAAAATCTGCAATGTATGAAATAGATGTCCACATTAGATATATGGAGATGGCAAGCAACAGCCGACAAAGTGCTTAACTCGGCAATTGAATTATTTCGAATTATGCAAAAGAGCTTTTAGCTCCAGAAAGGGGAAAAACAAAGAACAGGGGTAGAATAAATAGAGAAACTTTGGTGCCAAGAAGTTCTCCTTACAGAAATCGGGGATCATTCAACCTCTATACCTCATATACCACGTCGAACTCTACAACAGAGCATGACTAAGCTGAAGAAACTCTTGTTGTAACAAAAATTGATTGATAAGTCAATTGGATTGTTAACAGCCCAAGCCTCAAGGTATAGGATCCAGAATGAAATAGACGCAGACCCCATAAAAGCAAAAAGGGGAACTTTGTCCTGAGTGAGGCATTTCATCGAACAGGACGTCTTCGTGGCATTCAAGCTGAACACAAGACAAGAAACCCAGAAAGAAGACCTATCGATTTCCTACCACTTTAATAATTAAACTAACTAACACCCTGACAAAACCAACGGAGAAGTAAAAGTTGGGTAGTTCGTGGAAATGCATTCACCTTGGGATTGGTAATGCGGGACGGACAGAAGTGTTGGCCAACTGGGTACATGTCAAAAGGCTACAAGAGCTGTAGCAGCCTCATCTTCGCCATACTTGACCTTCCTATCACTCTCGCTGTCTAATCCCAAGTAGGGGTGTGCATCCAGTTCGGTAAACCCGAACCGAACCGGACCGGACCAAATTTGAACCGAACCAAAACCGAAATTGTGTTATTCAGTTCAGAATTCGGAAGAGAAATTACCCTAATTTAGAAACCAGGGTTCTTCCAACCGAACCGACGTTCCGAACTTCGAACCGAAAAACCGAAAAAGTATGGATTTGGCTCAATCTCAACTCACCCCCAGCCCAAATAAACTCAACTCACCCCAGCCCAAATAAAATCCAAACACTCAACTCACCCCCCAGCCCAAATAACCAAACACTCAACCCTAAACCTAATGAATTGAACGAGAGAGGCAACAGCTGCAACTCTCTTCTCATCTCTCACAAGCAGCGCAGGGGGCAGGGGCAGCCACCACACACCAGCTATCCATCATCCTTTCAATTCGAACGATCGACAACATCAATCTTTCACCGCCATCCTTCGCCGCCGTCCGCCGGGATTGACCTTTTTTCGCCGCTTTCTCTTCCCCGCCGCAACACCCTCTTCTCCACCTGAAGTCCTGAATTGAAAATAGAAACAGAGACTAAGACGATGCTATTGAAGATTTGAAGCTCGAGCCTCGAAAGAGATAAAAGTATGCCAAAAAAATGACATGCATGCTTAGATCTAAAGCCATACGAACCTTCATCGTCGTCCGCCAAAGTTGTCACCATCGCTGTCTTCAATCGTCGTTGCCGACTTTCGTGGTCCGCCAATTTACTTTCTTCCTTTTTGAACTCTTAATGATCTACGCCGCTTCGAGACCGGAGAAGGAGGAGAGATCTCTATCGTCCGTCGTCGTGCAGCTCGGGTGTGCTCTGCTTCGATTTCTACCTTGTGCTCGTCGTCGCTACATCGTTTGTTGGTTGGAGAGAGAGAGAGAGAGAGAGAGAGACAGAGAGAGGAGATTGCATCTGAGGAGTCAAGGGGAGAAATATGAAGATAGGCCGAGAGAGTTGTCATTTTTTCCAAATAGGTGTCCACAAAACGCAGGAGTCAAGTGGCCAAAACGGAAACAGCTTTTATTTTCGGGTTTGGAGAAAAAACCGAACCGAACCAAATTATAATTCGGTTCGGAATTGGTTTGGGTTATAACTAGAATTAGGACCCCGGTATAGATCTGTTCGGTTCGGTTTGAACGGAACCGGCCGAATGCCCACCCCTAATCCCAAGGCATGGACGCATCTTCCGGAGCCAAATAGCGTTGGTTGCTGGAATTCTTATTCACTACCGGCAAATGCTCAATGTGACAACCATGGGTTCAAGAGTCTTAGACTCTTAAAAACCATTGGGCTTTGCTGCGGGCTTCACGGGCGATGATCCAATATGGGAATCCAACGTGGTTGTCAAACCGTTTATAGTTGGTTTAGCAAGTGAAAAGATTCCACCAATTGTATAACCTGTTTGAACTTTGTTGAAGCCATTTTGTTGAGGAGTCCAAAATTAGCTTAACAAGTCTCTTATCAATCAAGCAAACACTCTTGTTTGTGGCGAAATTCTACCTATCCATCGTCTTTCGTTCAATTATTTTTTGTTCGAGTTTAGTTGCGTAGTTTGATTCAAATCCAACCCCCCCCCCCCCCCCTCTAAGGGTTGACTCTTATAATCAAAGCCAAAACAATGGCTTGGATGAATCAGCTGCGTCTAGTCGATCTATGCCAATTCATATACAAGGGTGTGACTTAAATCTTAGCTTCACAGTTAGTTAGCATCCTATCTCATTTGATTGCCCCGGACCATAATGGATTTTCAGATCACCAGATTATTATCATATCTTGGTTGGTTATGAGCTGATGCATTTCATTAAGAACAAACATCGAGGTTGAAATTTATGGCCATAAAACTTGACATGAGAAAAAGCTTATGAACGCATAGAGTGATCATTCTTGTTCTATATTCTTCAAACTTGCATCAGAGTGATTGGTTATCCCTAATGCTTTTTGTGCATTGTAGAAGAGGCTTCACGACAATTCTCAAACAATTGGTCACATCTCGTGAGCTTCATAAGGTTCGTATGGCAAGTAGATGTCCTCAGGTTTTCCACCTTTTTTGTTGATGATTCTTACTTGTATCTTCAAGCATAGCAGAGTGATTATGACATTTCATTACACCTTTTGAAATAATATAAAAGTGTTAGTGGTCAGCGGGTTAATCTAAAGGAATCTACAATGTATTTCAGCCCAAATCTCGAGCAAGAAGCGCAAGAACAAATAATAGAAATAATAAGATAAATAAAATATGTGTTATTAGTAATTAGTCGTCTGGATTTGTGTGTGGCCTTGACCCGTTGTTAAGGCCCAAGAGGTTGTTGAGATAGGCATTGACCTTTTTATTAGTGTTATTAAAACCAAACCGAGTTGGCCAGCCTGATCGGTAAAACCATCACCCGCCCGCCAAACAGGTTCGGGTCAGTCAATAAACAACAATAGATTTTTGAAGCGTTCGACAAGCGGCCGAGGCGGTTAATCGCTCGACCCGCTTTCTCGGTTTTTCCCTTCTGCCCGAGAGAGAATGGAGAAGGATGATACAAACAAAATCAAACACCAACAGCCGAACTTGGCCTCCAATTCAGCCTGCCCAAACAACCACCACTGGCTAGCCTTTCGTCTCCGCCCACAAGTTCCAACGAGGCGAAGAGGATAGATCAAGCGCAGCCGGCCAATGACTATTGCTCATTTAGATCTCATCACCAAAAACCTCACCTTGTTCCCTACAATGTAAATAGGATAAGAAAAGCAAAATAGCATAGGGTGGAGCAAAATCCTCTTTTCTCTTGCGGAAGAAATTGACAGAGAGGGAGAGGAAGAGGGAGAGAATGGGGGAGAGCGGTGTTGCTGCTTAAGATTGGGGTAGGGTTTGTTTTTAGTTGCTATTTATATAATGTGTAAAATTACTAAGTGATACCTGCAAAGTAAATTTCATTTTAGTTATTCAATTGTTAAATTATTATACTTATGATTTTATGATTTATAAGGTACTAGTTCTCTAACGATTTTTTAACAGTCCAATACCTGTTGGACCACTAAAGTGCAAGTCATTCACATTTTCGGGTTATGCTCCGATTCGGTTCTGACAACATTGCTTTTCACTAATCGTTTTCCACCTTTGACTAGCAACAATGCAGTCAAAATCGCGCTTTAAAACTTAAAAAACTTACGATTTTACGCTTTTAGGTCACCAGAACGCTTTCGTTTTCGTATAAAAACTTAAGTGTATAAAATTGAACTGAATTGCGCTCTAAAGCTTAAAAGCTTACGGTTTTACACTTCTAGTTCTCCAAAACGCTTTACGTTTTTACGCTTTTAGTTCACTAAATGAGTATTCTTTTCATGAAATTCATTATGAAAAGTATATTTTAAAAGTAAATCACCAACAATATGATACATTTGAGATTAAAAGATACATATAAGGTACTTGGATGCATTCTCAACTTCGATAGAGTAATCTAATTCACCAGCTAGGCTTTTCCCAAATTCATTAGCATAGTGGGAAAATTGGCTTATTGTTAAAATTTATGTTTACAAACTTATTTTTTTCGGTAATTAGCAGATTCTATTAAGCACAGCCTTCCTGCAAGTAAGCAGAAAGCTTCGAAAAATACAAAGGCAAAGCGCCCAAAATCCCCTTACAGATTAACAACACAGCACAGAGAAGGAAACAGAAAAGAAACTAGCTAATAAAGCTGACTATAAGCTGGGATTTTGCTGAGTTCATGCTGGAAATCAGCATTCCCATACCCATAAAAACGAATCTCCCTGCGTAGAATCTCAGCGAGGGCCTCAGGGGAAGAAGATTGTTCCCCAAAGCAACGACGACACCGCTCCTTCCAGATGAAACATAAACTCCAACACCACACTGAGCAGTCGACTAACCCAGCTCGAGCTCCCTGCATAGCTCTCTCAATCATGCTATCACACATCTCATTCCAGGTCAGAGGAAGAGTTACAGCCCGTCGAAGAAGTGCAGCAACAAAATCCAGTGTATAAGAGCATTCACAAAACAAATGTTGTCGAGATTCAACAGCAGAATGACACAGAGGGCAAGAATCATCAGCTATCATCCCCCAGCTTTTCAGCTTGTCACGAGTGGCAATTCTATCTAATATGATCAGCCAAACAATAAAACGATTTCGTGGTAAAATGAAACGTCCCCAAATCACTCTCCACCAAGGTACCTCAGGCCGTTTAAGCCTAATAGTGTCCCAGACAAGCGACACAGAAAACACCTTCATCGTTTTCCCCAACCAAGATACACTCTCATCCATTTCAAGATTCATCCTGAATTGAAGCTAGGGTCTGACTTTGAGTAATTGCTTCCAGATCCAAGATCCAGAAGTGGTAGGTCTGACCTCCCAAATACAGAGCCCCCTGAGCCTATACCTGATGCACCAGGCCACCCAAAAGCTTCCTCCTCGAATCAGTAGTAACCAAATAAACCTGGCCAAACAAGCAATATTCCATATGCTTAAATCTTTCAGGCCAACACCCCCTTCTTTTTTGGGGAGAGCAATTGATTCCCATGCAACCTTGGCTCTACCTATCCCATCACCATGCCAAAGAAAATTGGAGAGATTCTCTGGACATCCTTAATCACTTTCTTGGAAAGAATGAAAATAGACATCCAATAGTGAACTAAAGAATATAAGACTGATTCAATTAACTGGATCTTACCTGCATAAGACAACTTCTGAGCCCTCCATCCTCTTATCCGATGGGTCAATTTATCAACCAGGACAGCACATTCAGCATTGGACAGCTTGCCAGATATCAGTGCTAAGCCTAAATAACGAACTGGTAGCTTACCCTCTCTAAAGCCAGAAATTTGGAGAGTAGTAGTCTTAAACTGATGAGCATAACCACCGAAAAACACTTCACATTTGTCTGGATTGCACTGTAAACCAGAGAGCTGATAGAAAGCATCTAAAATTTTCCTGATTCCATATAAAGCCTAACTTGATCCCTCTGAAAAGATCAAGAGGTCATCAGCAAAACACAGGTGCGTGAGGCCAAATTGTTTGCAACGAGGGTGATAGGGGAAACTCCCTCCTGCTGCTGCTGCTTTATTCAATAGCCCAGACAGAGGTTCCATTGCAATAGTGAAGAGGTAGGGGGAGAGAGGGTCCCCCTGCTTGACTCCTTTCACAGCAGTAAAGAATCCAAAAAGACTACCATTAACAGAGATGCTAAATGAGGCTGAACTTAGACAGAGAGAAATCCATTTAATAAAGTTGTCTGGGAATCCCATTAATCTCATCACATTCAGGAGATAGCCCCAATGAACAGAATCAAAAGCCTTTTTAAGGTCAACTTTAATAGCAGCTCTAGAGGACAAGTGACTTTTGTGATAGTCCTGAACTACTTCCTAGGCCATTAGTATGTTCTCTAGGATGCTACACCCCTGGATAAAGGCTGAATGGTTTCTACTAATAAGTGTAGGAAGAACCATTTTTAGTCTATTTGCTTAGACTTTTGCGATGATCTTGTATAGGACGTTAATACAGGCAATAGGTCTAAAGACAGGGAGCTTGTCTGCATTAGGTACCTTTGGAACTAGAGTCAGAGATGCGGAGTTCATACCTCTGGGGTAAACCCCCTCCTGGAAGAAAGTTTGGATTCCCTTTATTATATCAGCCCCAATAAGACCCCAACACCTCTGAAAAAACCCTGCTGTCCAACCATCAGGACCTGGAGATTTAGTAGGGTGCATATCAAAAAGAGCCTTCCTGATTTCCTCCCCAGTTACCAACCTACAGAGCATTCTACCCTCTTCCTCAGTAAGCTTCGCACTCAAACACCCCTCAATCAGATCACAATCCACAATCACATCCTTATTAATGGAGCCAAACAGATCTTTATAAAAGAAAACAGCCTCATCAGCAATGTCTTTCATATCAGTTAACTCAGCATTATCATGAGAAATTATCTTCCTGATCTTTTTTCTAGCATTACGAATACAAGCAGCCTTATGGAAGAAACCCGAGTTGGAATCTCCTAGAGTAAGCCAGTTGATGCAAGACTTCTGTCGAAAGAAAGCCTCTTCTGCCCTTTGCAGCTCAACATATTCACCAGTCAGCACTTGAACTTCTGCAAAAAGCCATTCAGATGGAGCCTGAAGAGCTTGCACCTGTTTGTTTGTGAGCTCTGCCTTTTTCTCCCTAACTCTTTTGGAAATGTCAGAGAATTCATCTTTATTCAACCTCCTTAGCTCAGTTTTCAGGAGGTATAACTTCTGCTTCACTCCAAATAAACATGTCCCCCTCACCTCTTGCTTCCAACATGATTCTAGTAAAGATGAAAAGGAGTTGTGAGCAAACCACATATCAAAGAACCTTAATGGTTTCGGGTAAGACCTCTCAGGGACACAAGGCGTGATCAAAATACCACAGTGATCCGAGAAATCACGAGCTAAAAACTCCACCACACAATCAACCAATTTTTCCAACCATTCAACATTAACCATCAACCTGTCCAGTTTGCGTGCAATGGGATTATCTTTCTGATGATTTGACCAGGTAAACAGAGGGCCAGAAGCTGTGTGATCCACAAGTTCCATATGTGCAACCCAGTCCCTAAAAGCAAGCATACTACCCGAGATTGCTACCTCATTAGAGGCTTCTGCAGGGTCAAGAATAGCGTTAAAATCACCCCCTACAACCCAAGGAAACCTCTAAACTTTCCACTGACTCAGCTGTTTATATGTCACTTCTCTAACCTTTCCATCATTGGAGCCATAAACCACTGTAAGGAAAAACTGAGCCCCCTGCTGCATTGTAATTACTATATGCATGAAGTTCTCTTCCTCAGCTAAGACTCTCAGATTGACATCATCATTCCACGCAATCCAGATTCTCCCCAACTTATGCTTTGAGTAATTATCCACAAACTGGTAGTCAGCAAACTTATTTCGAATTTCCTCAACTTTCTTCTTGTCTTGCACTCTAGTTTCTAGTAAAGCAAAAATTGAAACTCTATGAACTCTAAGGTAACGAAGCACCACACTGTGCTTCAAGGGGCCATTGAAGCCCCTTGTGTTCCATATGAGTAGTGTCATTTACGGGTAGCAACCACCTTGGTGGTTCCCCCTTTACTTCGAAGACCATCTCTACCTCCTTTTTTTGGAGGAGCCTGCAATATAATATCTCTTTGGCCACACAGTAATTCAAACGCATTCGAATGCAATACAGGAGTAGGCAGCTTCAGGTTAGACCTTGCTTTAGCACCATTAATCACTTTATTAAATTCTTCTTGAGAAGGTAGAGCACTCGGAGTGACAGGGGGAGTAGAATCTTCCATGACCTTTTTACCTTTATCCACAGTAGCTCCTTTACCTGTATCCTGTACAATTTCCTTCTCGCCAACATCCTGCACCACTTGCTCAGGCAATGAAATCCCAACATCAGCACCAGCAGTCTCAGTTTGTCCCAATGCAAGAACATTGGCTTGTTTACGTCGCCAGACACGCTTGGTAGGAACTCCAGCAGGCGGAAGAGAACAATCATGTCCAAAAACACCACAGGTGCCACAACAGCGAGGCAAACCACAGTATTCAACGCCAATGATAAATTCAGGCATTCCATCCGGGGCAAGACTGATCTTATCAACTCTAGGCACAGTAGCACTAACCTCCACACATACACGAACAGTACCCACCCTCTCCCGATGTGCAGTAGAATGATCCATACATAGGGGTTTACCAATAGAACTTGGAATTTCTACCTAATCCCTCCCTCATCGCCAATTCAGCTGGTAATCCTGATAACTTGATCCAAACTGGGACAGCTGAATTGTCGATCTCCAACGCTCGAATTACAGGAACCCAGCGTCGAAGGCAAATAATCTTCTCACGATAATGCCACGGTCCCCCTTTGAATACCCACCGACAGGTTGCCTCCGATGGAAACTGAAAGAGAACCAACTTGTCATCCAGAAGCGAGACCTTCACCTTCCCATGGCGACTCCAGATCCAGTTTGCCCAAAATCTTAGAGCCGAAAGAGAAGGCGGAGCAACCAGGAACTGACCCACCAGGCTATGCTCCCATTTCTTCGTACCCTCCTCAATCACTGATTTGGGAATCCGAAGAGATCCATTGATGAATTCAGGCTCAAAGAAATCCAACTTAACCTCCTCTGAAACAGGAAACAAAGAAGCCCAAGACCTACCGCCACCAACGGCGCCAGGCTTGGCTCCGTCGGCGACGGCGGCCATCGCGACGCAGAAAGGGATTTTCAGAGAGAAGAGAGAAGAGAACCAAAGTTGTTCTACTTTAGGCATGAATCGCATGTATTTATTGACTTATCTAAATTATGTGCATTCATATTTTGCATAGCATATGTCCTACTTAATACATTTTTAGTTATTTTTTCAGTATGCGTCAAAAACTTATGCTTTTACCCTTTGATTCTACGCTTTACGATTTTAACCCTTTTCCGCTTCTAGGTAGAATCGCGCTTTTGACTGCATTGCTAGCAAGGTCGTATATCAATCACAAGATAGTAAAGAGCAAGGAGAAGAACATGTATACAAGATTCTTTGTTAATCTAGTTTAGTCTATTGCTTACGTCTCGGCTCAAAGGTGGCTCACCCTTTGATACCTAGTGCCTAGGTTTTATCTTATTCCATTCTAACTCCAAGTTGAGTTCCTTTTCGAGTGGAACTCTAAACCTTGACAAGAATAGAGCAGTATAGCTCTTCTCCCTTCCTCACAAGCACTCACACTAAAGAGAGAAACTACACAACCTCACAAACACTAAAGAAATATAGAGAGTGAACACCTATCACTTTTTACACCTATTGCTAATCACAGTGTTTGATCTTACTTTGCGTAGAATTGCTCTGTCACATTCTGTGAGTTTGTCTTCTTGCTTCCTTCTATTTATACTCCCTTATTACTTCCTTTTGTAGCAGGTTTACAATAAAATAAAATTTATACTTCCATTTGATGCACTGGTCTACTCGTGATCTTTCTTTGATTTGAAAGATTCTTTCCTGTAAAAACATATTCACAACTATGGTAAGTAATAATTTTTTTCATTTTACCTTGATGGAAAGGGGAGGCTTTTCCTCTACAATCTCCTCCTGCTTTTATTTTCTGCAATTTCACGCATTTCTTATAATTGCATGTGTGTTAATAGTGATGGAAGCATCAAGGCTACCCCTCAACCTGTTATCTCGATTATATTGGAGATTGTCGACTCCCAAGTCATTCACACACCATAGTGATCAAACTAAAGCAAACCATCATAAGGTTCAGGTGCCAACAGTTCAAAATAAAAAATTCACACATAGTTCTAGATAGTTGGAACAAGAGAAAAGCTTTCTTGTCATCACTTAACATGTGCCTATAAAGGTTCTAAAGAGCATATGACAGATCGGCTGAATGAGATGCACCATCAGTTGACGAGGTTGTGCTTTTGGAGGGATTCTCGTAATCGTATGGCGCGAACTGAGGTGAATCTAGGTCCCTTTTGTTAGCAAGAGAGGTCGGCTTACTAAACTTAGGTGAATCTGGGTTTTTTTTGTCAGCAAGAGAGGCTGACTCGCTAAAATTAGAGTCCTCTAACTCTGACCACCGTCGCTGCTTATCCATATTACTTTAGGACCATTCTCCCTCTCAATCGCAAGCTCCAATTCTTGTAAGACATCGTTCCCAGTGAGAAACAGAACGGAAGTGGTGGTTCAAAAGGCTAATAGATTCATCTCAAGGTTGATGATAAGATAAACTATCATGGGCTAAATACAAGTGGGTCATGATATTTGAAGTCAGCAAAGGTGTAATGGTTCCAACTTCCAAAGAGTAGATGAGTAAAATCCAGAGGAATAGAGGCTACAACATGTGAGAGAATCCAAAGATATATTGGTAGGATCATATCTTGAAAGAGAACCTTGGGGAAAATGTGTGTTTAAGGAAGTAATGTAATACCCATAGCTATGGAGTGGCGTAGCCAGACATCGAGTCCACTGGGGTCCTTAAAATTTTACTAACATAATGCTTGTTTAACTAATGAATTTTAAGTTAATCGGGGTCCTTGGTGAGCTAACATCGTTGAGAGTATGGGGTCCTAAACTTGAATTATCGTACTAAAACCTATGTATTTAAAGTGTTTTGTTTCCCAATTATTTGCCAAGTGGGGTCCTAGGACCCCTCTCCTCCTTACCTCCCTCCGCCACTGGCTATGGTGGAAGAGTGGAAGCCAGAATATGAGGAGTCCATCAGGAGGATGACCAGTAAGCATCAAAGCCATAGGATTCCAGCTCAGAGTCATGGGCTAAGATATCTCCCCCTCCCGGAATATTGAGGATGCAAAGAAATTCAGAGACTGGGATGGAGATCATATAACCAAACACGCTCATGGAGGAGAAAGTTTCAACCATGAATGTGAAGGTAGGGTTGATTGACTTCATGGTTGATTAAGTCAACAAAAGATATTTGATAAGTGGTAGTGATTTCTCGGTCGGAGTAAGCTTGGTCGTGACGATGGGATTTCAGAGGATTATGATCCAACAGAAGAGCTCCTATGGATGTGTTTGTAAAGGAAAACACCAAGATGAAGAAATGGGATGATGATGTGTCATAAGATGGATTTTAAGAAGTGTAAGTAGATAGGCCTTAGGGGGAATCGTACTAAATGTTGATTCGGAGAATCAGACACAAGTTTCAAAACGATAAAGTGCATGGAGATAGAGGAAGACAAATAGGAGTTAAAGGTACGATAAATATATAAGATAAGTACTAATACTACTAGTGCTAGAATATTAAAAGTACGAAAATTAAATGAAAATAAAGCAATAATTAGACCTTGCTTATATTGAAATAAAGAAAAGCAAAGAAAAAAGATAGAAACCAACCCTTAAACGCCAAGTTGTCTTTGATGCACGGTTGGAGCACATGGTAGTTGCACATATGAGGCCCTTTCTTGCGGAGATGGTCCATCATAGCTCGTAATCGCCTCCATTAGCTGCTTTGTTGTGCTTGTTGTGGTTGCTCCTCGATTTGAGGTTATGGTGCTTCACTTGGAAATTGTGGTTCTTCTCATCATGGGCGGTTTCGGTTCCGGTTCCTTCGTTGTTGAGGGCTAAGAGAACTAGCACTCTCACCCTCGGTTGGATCACCATTAGAAAGGAAATATCACAAAATATGTTCAAACAAACCATTAGGAAACTTACGTGATGAATTAAACAACAAAATCCAGTCTCAGGATCACTCTATACACCCCCCCCCCCCCCCCCCACACCAAACTCAATGATAAAATCTAAAGAAATCTAGAATGAACAACACGATTTGGGATAGGAACCACCGTTCCTGTATCCCTAGAAAATAGTGGTAAACACGGACTCACCTGCCAAACTGATTTGGATTGAGATTTTTATCGGGTATCAGGGAACCATGTGGTTATAAATTAGACTTGATCAAAACGGGCCAAAACTTGAAATTCGGCTTGTTTGACCGACCCATGCCAAACTCTAATTATTCTTTACTTTTAAACTTTCTATTTGAAAATAAAAAATAATGAAAGAAAAGAGATGACTGCAATTCGCCATTTGCACATCACTGATTCGGGAATAAAACTATAGAATTTCGAAAGGAAACTGAAAATGTTAGGATCGTTTTAATGTTAAAAATAACCTAATAGATATTTTTGTTTAGTTTTTTACTAACAAATACCAAACGATTCCCTATAATATACTCTATAATTTAATCATTATGATATGAAATAATTACATAATATATATTTAAAATGATAAAAATTGGACTAATTGTGTCTGTCGAGGTTGAACCATTGAATAACTTTAAAATACATTATATTTTAGCCACTAAAATATAAAATAATAACATAATATATATTATGCTAGAGAAAATAGCTTGTTTTAGAATGGCAAACCCATGATGTTCATTTGTTTTACTTGATGGGCAAATCTCGTGTAGGTCAGGCCCATTAAACTCTTTTATTTTATGATTAGTGATTAGCCCATTAGAATCTATGCATTAGTTTATTGTTAAATTTTTTTCTTTTTAGCAATAAAAAGGAGTATTATTTTTGCATTTTCATATATATTTTACCACCACGGATAAATAAAGGGACTTAAAGAAAAAAATTGACACTCCTGGACCCGTTTAAATCCGCATGTGTACGGTAAGTTGGCCCATTCCACAGAGGAAAAAGAAAGAAAAATTGAACGAACAAGGGATTGGTCTAGTGGTAATACAATTAGCCTTGAACTTGGAGGTCCAAGGTTCGAATCCCTTCAATAGTACCTAATTACAAAAAGTACCTATATCACCCTTATCTAAAAAAAAAGAAAAAGAAAAAAATTGACACTCCCTATTCTACCCTTCCTACAAACGCTCCTGGAGTAGGGAATTCGAAATGGGGGAAGGGTTTTTCCTCTCTGTGCTTATATGTTTTTAATTTAAAAAGATACAACAAATGTACTTAGTGTGATTGATTATGATCTTTACTTTTCTTTAAAGTGGTCATGGTTCGAATCCTATTATGTGTCTTTTTAATGAATAAAAAAAAGTAATTGTGAATACCAAAATGTCCTTCCTACTTTCACTGTGGATGCAGAAAATTTGAAATGGGGTTTCAAGTTTTCTCATTTTGTTTTTATTTATCGTGTAGATTAATAATAAAGAGGCGGGAGGCCTACGGGGTTTAGGGGCAAAGCCATGAGGTAAGCAGGTTCCTTTGGTATATGCAAGGGAACTGAAGAAAAGTCAGGATAGGAGTTCAAACAAACAGGTCCTAACTCCTAATCATGCTTGTCTCTGTGTTGATTCTGCCACGGATTCTTTCTTAATTAATTCTATCTCTGGAGATATTATCATCATTATTATTGTTATTGTAAATGATAGGAAACCACCCAGCTGCAGGCCTTGCAGCCTGGAAGTTTGCTTCCGTTGCTTCTAAATAACGGAATGGTTTCATTCTTTCCAATAAAAATATTGGTGCAGAGGCTTGGAGTTTTGCTTTGACGTCTTGCCCCCGACCGGCAACCTCGCCTAATTCCTTGACTTCACATCTCACCGACAGCCCAAACGCAAATATTAATTGACAAAAATATTGAAAAACTAGAAACTAGTTAATTTTTAGATTAAGTTCCGATTAACTAGCACTGTGGATCTGAATATGTCTATGAGGCGAGGCATTCAAATCAAATCCATTATTTTCCATGTAATTATATCCAAATTCAAATAAATTCATTGATTATGGGTAAGGTATTGATGAAGTAGACTTATTTCTATTCAATTATATAGGAAAATACCCATAAATTTGAGCAAAATTAACATCTCTAATTCTCATGACCCTCTTTGTGGCTATTTTCAAATCAATGGGGAAAATTACTCTTCTTAATTAGCTGAGTTTGAGTGAAGCATTGGATACTGGTAATCATAGTTAGCAAAAACTCTACGAGTAGATGGACATAAGTATTTTATGCGTTTTGTTTTCGGACTGTTTTCAAACCTTTTTATATTTTTTCCGTCGTTGATGGCTCACATGTATAAAACTCATATAACACATTCAATATATGTATATAGTAATTAAATTTCTTATATTTTATCACTATTAACGTAATTAATCATATCACACCATTTAGAGATAAATTAAAAGTCAGGAACTTTCCTTTACTAATCATCCTACTAAATTCACATTTCTACCTCATGACAAAAACATACTGTTAATCACAAAACCTAAACAAAACTGTTAGTCAACGTGCAGTTCGTGGCTCACACCATCACCTATTTTTTATATAAAAAAGAAGCATATATACCTCTCTACCCCGCCGCCCCATTCCCCCTCACTTCCTCGTGAAACAAACACTCATATATCCAATTCCTCTTTGATCTTCTGCACCATAGCTATATCACTAACGTAACAAATGGAGACTGATGATATCTACAGAGCTGGAAGCTTCTTGCTGGGTGGAGGAGGGTCTTCGATATGGACCAACAACAACAACGCCATCAACGATAATGAAGCTTTCCCGACGCCTTCGCGGGAAAAAGAGGACGACGAGGAAGCTCTCAAGTGGGCAGCGCTGGAGAAGCTCCCCACTTACAGTCGCCTGAAAAAGGGCCTCCTCACCACTCCGGACGGCCCCGCCGCCGAGATCGACGTGGACCACCTCGGCTTCAAGCAGCGGAAGGAGCTGGTGGACCGGCTGGTCAAAGTCCCCCAAGAGGACAACGAGAAGTTCCTTCTCAAGCTTAAAGATCGCATCGACAGGTAACTGGGTCAATAATATTCTGATGAAATCATCAGAAATCAAATAATTGAATGCATAGATAAATAAATTTGTGATGTCATGTGGGGAACTGATTTGTCCCAACAAACTTGATATTATTCCCTCGCGGAAATTAGGGAAATTTCTTAATTTTATTTTACTAGATTAGGTCTCGGGCCGGAATTCATATCTTTCATTATATAAACAACAGTAACAATTGTGTATAGTAAATATGTTTTTTATTCTATACCATAGAAGATGAATTATTTATTTGGAATTTTTTAAGAGGACCATACATCATGGAGTTTCCAACACCGTAGCTGGCTCATAAGCGGAAGTCCTTAGCCATAGTACGAAAAAACAAAATTCATGCAACGGAAACTAAAAAGCTTAATTATATGACAATTCAATTTACGAGCACTTCTACTATGCTATATAGTATTGGTGCTTTAATGTACAACTCAAAGTTGTACCATAACATTAAATGTATAAGTTTATGTTGTACCATAAAGCAATTTGTACCATTATGTTATGGTACAACTTTACAACTTGAAGTTGTACCATCACATAAATGTACAAGTTCAAGTTGTACCATAAAAGAATTTGTACAAAAAGTATAGGTACAATCTAAAGTTGTACCATAACATAAATGTACAATTTTAAGTTGTACCATCAAGGCAAAAACCTATAGCACCAATACTATATAGCATTGTAAAATTTCTCTTCAATTTACTGCTCCCTATCACAAATAACTCCTTACTTGTGCATGTCACTCGAATCAGAACCAACCAAAATGGCGTTAATATCACAAAATAACTGAAATGGCAAACTGATCCTAAGAAAAATGCAACGTTTTTTGTTTTTTATGTAATATTTCTTTAATATTAGATATAAATCTCTCTTCCAAAAATAAAATTATCTTACGAAATTAAGACAGTAATTCTATGTCGTTATGCATTTCTAATATTTAATTTAATCCTAATTAACTGGATTCAAATATATGGAGAGGTTCTTCACCTATAATTATTATTAGAATTATTAAATGAGAAGTAATCAAAAAATAAAATCACAGTTTCATACGAAAAAACCGCTAAACTTAAATCACTTGCTTAATTAGACTTTTTTGGGGCACTGTTCATGTTGGTGATTTTTCCCCTGCGGCAGGCCCATGATATCTCCAATAGTCCCTCGTGGTGCAAACAAAGTAATTTAGTGTGCTAAATTCCGTCCGCCCAATAGCCAGAGACAAAGGAAACGGAGATGATTATGTGATTGGTACTGACAATTGAGACTTGAGAGGGAAGTTCTTTTTTGATTTGCTTGAATTGCCCTTTTTCCATGTGAATTACCATTCATAATTCATTTATTTAACATTCTTTTCTACAGGGTATAAGACTCATGGTTAGGAACACTAATTTATTTAGCATTCTTCTCTACTAGGTAGGTAGAAACTCATCTAGGAATTTAAAAAATTATTATATTCAAAAATTATGATTTTTTATTAAAAATTGGGATAGTACTAGATCTGTTTCTACTTTTTGTAGCGAGTATTATTAATCAAATTTTTTATACTCTACACTTAATTTTATCATAAGCTCTATTTGCCTACCATAAGTTTTCCATCTCTTGCACCTAATTTCACATTAAACAAAACATACAACATAACAATAATTTCTATAACTTCATTCGCTTATTGTTTACTTAGATTCATTTAGTATCACCTACTATATTCAACATCTCATCAATTTGCATGTCACAGAATAAAGCTTATGTAAGATAGGTTAATCTTATGTAATAGTCTAATCAAATGTAAGTATGTAAATTGATTCTCTTATTAGACCACACGTTACGGAAGATTACGTAATACCGTTCTATAACTATTATTAAAATACAATATGTAGAACTTAAGAAAATTGAAGGGATAGTTAATTTCTTATGTATCATCAAACAAATGTGTTAGATAAGCTTTCTGTATAATTATTGCATACAACTATCTCGGTATTTATTAATTCTTTAATGAACTTTTTTATACTCTACAATCAATTTTCCCATATACGTTGTTTTTTCCCATAGTCAGTTGTTTATGTAATTTTTTTTTGTTTTCCATCTCCTCGCCAAGTTCACCATAAGAATTTTTTTTACCTTCAAAGTACTTTTTATTTCACATTACGAAAGATTTACATATCACATAAATATTACACAAAACTTATAATTAACTACAATGCTCATCAATCCATTTGCACTATGCAAAAATTCTATGTGGTAGGTTAATTTTTTCATTGTAGTTTAATTAAATGTGCTACTTTCCATAATATAATTTTATTATTAAATCGTACACTACATAATATTTATGTAAAAATATTATATAAAAATTACGTAAATTTTATGTATCAATTAAACAAAATGTACAACATAAGTGTTAATGACTCACAAAATACGCAAACTTTGTGGAGTGACAATAATTTCTATAACTTCATTCTCTTATTGTTTACTAAGATTCATTTAATATCACCTACTGTATTCAACATCTCATCAATTTGCATGTCACAAAATAAAGCTTATGTAAGATAGGTTAACCTTACGTAATAGTCTAATCAAATGTAATTATGTAAATTGATTCTCTTATTAGACCACACGTTACGGAAGATTACGTAATACAGTTCTATAACTGTTATTAAAATACAATATGTAAAACCTATGAAACTTCAAGGGATAGTTAATTTCCTATGTATCATCAAACAAATGTGGTACATAAGCTTTCCATATAATTAAGATATTATGTAAAGCTTATGAAAGAGCGTTACTTTATTTTGTTAATAATTTCATTCCAACTAAATCATTAATGAGTGCATAAAAATTTATTTAAAAATAATTATTTCATTACCGCGACGAAGCGCGGGCCAAAAGACTAGTATTAATTAATAATGGATCCATGATATATATTTAAAGAGTTCGAATATACACTTTAACGTTTCACTCATTTGACTTTTGTTTCGTGCTGCAGAGTGGGAATCAAGCTTCCCACCACTGAAGTCCGATTTGAGCATCTGAATATCGAAGCAGAAGCCCATGTAGGTAGCAGGGCATTGCCAACTTTCTTCAACTTCTTCCTCAATATATTCGAGGTGAGAATTTCCCTCATGATAATCGATTGTACTTTTTTACTGCCATATTTATGCCTACTCGTAGTAAAAAACCCTAGTCTTTTCCTTGCTATTTGAAGGGATTGTTCAGTTGTCTCCATATCTTTTCCAATGGGAAAAAGCAAATCTCCATCCTCAACAATGTCAGTGGAATCATTAGACCATCACAGTAAGTAAATAAAAAGAAAATTCCTCTAACGACCACTGTTTTCAGTTGTTCATTAGTTGGGGGGAAAACCCTTTCAACCCCTAATCTCGAATTGGGTTGCTCCACAGGATTACATTGCTTTTGGGTCCTCCAAGTGCTGGGAAAACCACTCTGTTATTGGCATTGGCTGGAAAGCTTGATCCCACTCTCAAGGTGCAATTTAGTTTTGGTGATTTGAGTCATTGGTCTTTCCTAATTGCAATTGAACCCTCCAAAGACATTTTCTTTCAATAACTCGAAATTATTTGGGAGATTTCGTCTAGGTTTCTGGGAACGTGACTTACAATGGCCATGAGATGAGTGAATTTGTTCCCCAAAGGACAGCTGCATATATCTGTCAAGATGATGTCCATATAGGAGAAATGACTGTAAGGGAAACCTTAGCCTTCTCAGCAAGAAGCCAAGGGGTTGGACACCGTTATGGTAAGTTTTTTTCTTTTCTTTTTATGTCTTTTAGTTATCGTTATTAATCGTTTTTGTTGTGAAATTCATGAATTCATGCACGATTGAATTTGAACAGAGAAGTTAATAGAGTTGTCGAGAAGAGAAAAGGAATCAAACATCCAGCCTGATCCAGATATTGATGTGTTCATGAAGGTGAAGGGAATGCTTACTATATATTCATCATAATAATGGTCATTTTCTATTGTTCCAGCATAACATTTATGTACTTGTGAAGGCTATAGCGACCGAGGGTCAAGAAACGAATGTGATAACAGATTACGTCATAAAGGTGAGTCATATTAAGAAATTATAACATATATTGTATAATTCAAATTCCATGTTATGGCTTTTTTTCTAGTATGCCAATGCATGTCTTTTCACGCAGGTTTTAGGACTAGAAAGCTGTGCAGATATCATGGTAGGGAACGACATGATCAGAGGTATCTCTGGAGGACAAAGAAAGCGTGTCACAACTGGTACAAAATCCTAGTTAATTAGTTTTCTTTTGAAAGAATCATGAACTTAATACTTAATGATATTTGTTTACGTTTTGAACCGATTATGATTCATATTCACATCTGCTAATGAACTTCCAGGTGAAATGTTGGTGGGACCTGCAAATGCATTGTTCATGGATGAGATATCCACGGGCTTGGACAGCTCAACAACTTTTCAAATTGTCAAGTCACTAAAGCATTACATTCATATTCTCGATGGAACAGCTGTAATCTCCCTTCTGCAGCCAACACCCGAAACCTACGATCTGTTCGACAACGTTATTCTCTTGTCGGATGGCTACATTGTGTATCAGGGACCTAGGGAATACGTGCTTGATTTCTTTGAACAGATGGGATTCAAGTGTCCTTCAAGGAAAGGTTCTGCTGATTTCCTGCAAGAAGTAAGCAACTAATAAAATAAGCTATGACAGTTTATATTATTATATTATTTGCATCACAAAATGAAATGCACTTAATTATAGGTGACATCAAAGCAAGATCAACAGCAGTACTGGATGAAAAAAGAAAATCCATACAGGTTTGTCAATGCTAAAGAATTTGCAGAGGCATTTCAGTCATTCCACGTAGGGACGATGCTAGAGCAAGAGCTTTCGTCTCCATTTGACAAGAAGAGGAGTCACCCTGCAGCATTGACAACAAAGGTATATGGCGTTGGGAAAATGGAGCTATTCAAATCTTGCTTCGCGAGAGAGTTGCTGCTCATGAAGAGAAACTCATTCGTCTACATCTTTAAGTTTGCACAAGTGAGTTAGATGGATATACTATGATTATCGACTCACTCTCTTATTGGGAATTATGTTTTTTTTATTTTGATTGCTTATTTCTTCCTGCTCTCAAGCTTATATTCATGGGACTAGTGGCCATGACACTCTTTCTACGGACCGAGATGCATCGAGATTCAATCATTGATGGTGGAATTTACCTTGGGGCTTTATTCTACACGGTGAATGCTTTCATGTTCAATAGCATGGCTGAGATCTCCATGACCATTGCAAGGCTTCATGTGTTTTACAAGCAAAGGGATCTCCTGTTCTATCCTGGATGGGCGTATTCTCTTCCCCCATGGATCCTTAAATTTCCAATCACGTTAATCGAAGCTGGTTCTTGGGTGTTTCTTACATATTATGTGATTGGATATGATCCAAATGCAGGAAGGTCAGAACAACATTTTTACACACTTGCTTGAATAACCCTACTGAGCTAAACTAAGTTCTTGTCACAACTGAGAAATCTTATAAAAGCTATATGCAGGTTGTTCAAGCAATATCTTTTGCTATGTCTTGTGAGCCAAATGGCTTCAGCCTTGTTCCGGTTTATTGCTGCATCAGGAAGGACTATGATTGTTGCCAATACATTTGGATCGTTTGCACTGCTTTCACTCTTTGCATCTGGTGGCTTTGTCTTGTCAAGAGGTGTTTTGTTTTGTCTTTCGTCTTATTTCGAAATTTCAACTTTTTCTGGAAAAAACATGTTATTGATCTGTTGATTGTTTCCTTTTACATAATTTCGACAGAAAACATAAAGAAATGGTGGATTTGGAGTTATTGGATCTCACCAATGATGTATGGACAGAATGCAATAGTGGCTAATGAGTTCCTTGGAAGGAGTTGGAGCAACGTAATATTACCCCTAGGAGTTTCTATATATATTTTTTTAAGAAACCAAGCTAATGAGCATACGCTTTTGGTTTTGACAGATTCTCCCTAACTCGACTGAATCTCTAGGAGTTCAAGTTTTGAAGTCTCGTGGATTTTTCCCACATGCATATTGGTATTGGATTGGAGCAGGGGCTCTAGTTGGATTTGTACTAATATTCAACTTGTGCTTCACTCTAGCTCTCACTTTCCTTAGCCGTGAGTAAATTCTTCATTTCCAAGTTCATAATTTATTTCCTTGGAGACGACACATTATAATCCATTTTGTGGTCTTTGTAGCCTTCAAGAAATCTCAAACTATAGTGCTGGAGGATTCTCAAAATGATGGAGCAGATAAACCCGGAGTAGTTGTTGAGTTGTCCAATATTGAAGGTGGTGAAGAAGGAATTAAGACTCCACCCACAAAAAGGGGAATGGTTCTTTCATTTGAGCCATACTGCCTCACATTTGATGATATTAACTACTCTGTGGACATGCCCCAGGTAAGATAATTTCCAAGAATCTAAGAAGAAAAACATATGCCACCATCTTAAGATCAATCCAAAACTTAAGGTTGAAATTTTTTTCATATACTGCGAAGGGAATGAAAATTGAAGGTGTTGCTGAAGATAGATTGGAGCTTTTGAAGGGTGTGAGTGGTACGTTTAGGCCTGGGGTTTTAACAGCATTAATGGGTGCTAGTGGTGCCGGTAAAACCACTCTAATGGATGTCCTAGCTGGTAGGAAAACCGGTGGATATATTGAGGGAAACATCACAGTTTCAGGTTATCGTAAGAAACAAGAAACCTTTGCAAGAATTTCTGGCTACTGTGAGCAAAATGATATACATTCTCCACATGTCACAGTCTACGAGTCATTGCTCTACTCCGCTTGGCTACGGTTACCTGTAGAGGTGAACGCTGAAACTAGAAAGGTAAAGTAATGGCGACAAATATTTATTTATGAAATTTGCATGGACAAGCTAATTTACAATATTGTCTACAGATGTTCGTGGAGGAAGTGATGCAGCTTATTGAAATGAAGCCATTGAGGCAGGCATTGGTTGGATTACCTGGTGTGAATGGTCTTTCAACAGAGCAACGCAAGAGACTAACCATTGCAGTTGAGCTAGTGGCAAACCCTTCTATCATATTCATGGATGAGCCGACTTCAGGCTTAGATGCAAGAGCTGCTGCCATTGTCATGAGAGTCGTCAGGAACACCGTGGATACTGGGAGGACAGTAGTGTGCACTATACATCAACCAAGCATCGACATTTTTGAAACTTTTGATGAAGTAAGAAAGTAACTTTAGTTATTTACTACCTATTCTCTTTATACTTTCTAATTATATCGTTTTGATGTACCTGACTTGTTTGGCAATGCAGCTCTATCTACTAAAGAGAGGAGGTCAAGAGTTGTATGTAGGGCCTCTTGGCCGTCATTCCAGCCACCTAATCAACTACTTTGAGGTTGCATAACAAAAAAAATCACTAAACTTTTCATTTCATTAGTATTTTCATTATTTCGTATTAAAGCTTTTCATTATGTCCAGGATATTGAAAGAGTCCCCAAAATCACTGATGGCTCAAATCCTGCAAACTGGATGTTAGACGTTACAAGTTCAGCACAAGAATCAGAACAAGGAATTGACTTTGCTGCTACCTATAGAAACTCAGACCTTTATAGGTAATCTATCAAATTTAATATGAGATTAAATCTTTCGCTTATAAGAAAGTGAGAAATCAAACTTATGTCTTAGAAACACAACCTATTATCTTCTTCTTTGAAGGAGAAACAAGGCACTTATTGCAGAACTAAGCACGCCTGCCCCAAGTTCAAAGGATTTGTACTTTTCTACAAAATACTCACTGTCATTCGTCAATCAATGTGTCGCTTGCTTTTGGAAGCAGTACTTATCATACTGGCGAAATCCACAATATACTGCCGTAAGGTTTCTCTTCACCATCGCCATAGCATTGATGTTCGGGACAATGTTCTGGAATCTTGGCTCCAAAACGTAAGTGTATATGACAAACAATAATTGAGATCTTGTATCTCTATCAAAGATCTCATATACCATCCTTGATTTCTTTTTGCTACAGATCAAAGAGACAAGATTTGTTCAATGCAATGGGATCAATGTATGCGGCAGTGATCTTTCTTGGAGTCCAAAATTCATCTTCTGTGCAACCTATGGTGGCCATTGAAAGAAGTGTGTTTTATAGAGAAAGAGCAGCTGGAATGTATTCGGCCTTGCCTTATGCCTATGCACAAGTAAAGTTTCCCTCACATTTTGTGACTGCTTAATGTAGTCGGGTAATCGGGTTACTCGTTGTTTTACTTTTCTTTCTTTTTATTTGGCTGCAGGTGCTGATTGAGATCCCGTATGTGTTCTCTCAAGCTCTTGTTTATGGCCTCTTAGTCTACTCGATGATTGGGTTTGAATGGACCGCCGCTAAGTTCTTCTGGTATATATTCTTCATCTACTTCACATTGCTATACTTCACGTACTACGGAATGATGGCTGTAGCCGTGACACCGAACCACCACATTGCCTCAATTGTTTCATCTGCATTTTACTCCCTTTGGAACTTATTCTCTGGATTCATTGTTCCACGACCAGTTAAGTTGCTTCTTTTTTCCCATCAAAGTTTTCATATGAACCCCTTTCCCATTAAGAACCCTTTTTTGCGGATTTGGTGTTCAATTTTGTTTGCATTTTCGTAATCCAACAGCGAATGCCAGTGTGGTGGAGATGGTACGCATGGGCGTCTCCGGTAGCATGGACATTATATGGGTTGGTTGACTCCCAATATGGAGATGTTGAAACTAGACTTGATACCGGCGATAGAGTCACAGATTTCGTGCGGGGTTACTTCGGGTTCAGACACGATTTCTTGGGAGTGGTTGCAGCTGTGGTTGTCGGATTTGCAGCTCTCTTTGCTTTCATCTTCGCCTTCTCCATCAAGTTCTTTCATTTCCAGAGGCGATAAAGGAATGTATCAAAATTAAAATAGCATGGTTTCTTCACGTTGTTGTCCTTTATAAATTCATCCATTTTTTTTTATTTTGACGTTGTTTACGCAACAAGCGAGTAACTAGCTCACTGAGTTCCACAAGACATTTTTTTGTTACATTTTTTGTTTCTTGAATAATTTTGGGATGAATATCTCGTGTTTTGTATCTCATGTAATCTTATGATATTTGTCAAACATCTGTTGTTGAATGTTATAAGTTTGTTCAAAGAATTCAACAACTCATTTAATTATGGGCTCGATTTCACAATTGTTGCAAACCAAACATGGTACTCATACATTATATAAATTTTACAATTCACATGTCTACAAAAATGAGTTCTTGAAATCCTTATAGTCTACTATAAGTGCTTGGCAGCCGACCGGTTTATCTATTTTGAGAATCCTTCTTCCAAATCACTCTGATATATGATGTGCGCGAGGAATCAGTGAAACTGAAAAAGACAAGAATGAATTGGGGTTGAATGATGTCTTATATATATAAATGCACTAGTAAAGCTCGTAAAGGAAGATATGGCAAATCAATCTCAAGTTCTTTGTTTAATTGCGAGTCGAGGTCTCACAGAGAACACAAATACCAATCAATTCAATCCTACATTTTGCTCTTTCGCTTGGATTGAATCGCAAGGTACCCAAACCGAAGAGGTAACTGGAAGAGATAACAATATAATAAAAATAGTCCATGCCACTTTGGAAGGAACTACAGAGTGTCCGACTCAGGCTCAACAGCTAGATCCAACCAGATCCAAACCAGAGGGAAGCAAATCCCATAACCAAGGCCTGTCTGAGAGTCAAACCCACAAAACCCAGAGCCGCGGGAGGAGGAGCAGCAGCAGAATGCGTCTGGTTCAGGCCAAGGCTGCCGGAGGGTGGAGGCGGCAGAGGGTGAACAACCACAGAGACTTTCATCCCATTGAAGCACTGGCCGTTGCCGCAGATGAAGTAAAACCTCTTGGCCTTATCCAGAGGAATGAAATCCTTCCCACTGCTCCAATTCCCCACAGCGCCTTCCGTAGTGCAGTTGTCGTAACCCGTCTGGTTCACTTCGAACACATTGTACTGGTTCTTCTGGTACCTAAACGCTGCAACAAACCAAACGAACAGCAGAAAGATTCCAGCTTTAGAAAGCTTGTTGCATATTGACTGTTGATTAAAGGGGAAAGCAGGGGAAGAAGAGTTGTTTTACATATGAGATCTCCAACATAGAAGGTATGGTTGTTAGCCCAGACAGTGTAGTTGACGCCTGGGTTCCATCCTTTGTTGGCGCCGACGATGTGGTCGGTGGCGGTGACGACGGCGATGGCGGAGACGAGGATGAAAAAGGACAACAAGGTTGGAAGAGCTGAAGTTGAGCAGGACATGGCTGGCTGTCGCTTGGTAGCTGAGGGTTGGGGGCTTTCTGAGAGAGGGATGTTTGTCTATTTTGGACCTGGTTGCTTTATGGGTAAAAGCACGAGGAAAACTGAGAAAGTACAATGCTTTTTCGACTACCACTTGACTAGTGAAGGAAACTAGGAAAGGATGATAAATTGATAATGGGTTCTTTTCCAGTTTTCAAGAGGGTTCAAGAAATTTCTTAAGCTTGAAAGAAAAACAGAATAATCAAGAAAATCGAAGAGAAATGGTCCAGCCTTATGAAGGGCTCTCACATGGCTTAGCTACGCTTCTGTCATCCAACTGTACGCAAATTGCCATGACTCAATTGAGCAGGATATGACCGTTGCTGTGCTGTAATATGAAAACCCAAATAGAGAATATAAAAGTTAGGGGATAATACAGAGTGGAATATAAAAACCTAAACGGGTAACGAGTGGGAAACAAGGATGACCTACCACAACATGAGTGTCGACACCATACAACAACAGATTACACATTGATGTTCCTTCTGTTACAAAACATGGTCGCTCTGCTTTTTTGTTTTCACCTTCAGAGTTCAAACTCAACATATTGGAGCGGTTTTATGAAACTTTTGATTTGTTCAAATGCTCACGAAAATTTCGAATAGCTCATTGACTTCTACTATACAATACCATCACTGCAATGACTACTAACCTCCTATCCAAAAGTTTCCACTTCCACATTTGGCATCATAGAAGTTATTACCTTCCCAGGGCATTCACTTTTTAATCCTACCAATTAGACACTCTCAATTACTACAGAGATGCAGGCAAGAACAAGACTATGATCACAGTGGTCTTGAGTTTCTCACCTAGCTTCATTTCAACATAGGAACAAGAGGAAGTGAAAGGAATGGGTTTACAGGTTTCAAGTTGAATTTCACGACCATAATTCTATTATGGCTACTGGTTAGTGATAGTACCATACGCCAATATTTCTACTTGTATCGCTTGACATTTCAATAATACTGCTAGTTCATCAACACAGGGAACCTGTTAGCCACAAATCTTAAGAGGTAAAAATGCTAAAAAGAAACCGGGACAAGCTCCAGGGTAATTATTTCCGCCAGAACACAGGGGGGGGGGGGGGGGGGGGGGGGAAACATAACCATCTCAGATATCGATATCAATTATGCTTCAATGCTTAAAGAAATGTGAATTACTGATTAATAAATGCCATGTCAAACCATTAAAATTAAACATGACGGAGTTTACAGAAGGGATTCTGTTCCTCGTAAAATCACACTGACAGTACGGAGTCCACGGGAGTACCTCGGGTTTAACAGTATCCTGATAGAATCGCCACCAAGCTAGTCCAGATTAAGCTAGTTAATGTTGTGGAAAAACCTGTATCCAGCCTCCAACATGGTTTCATGCATTAGCTTGATGAGCTTCATGGTGAATAGATCCTTCACATGAACTTCTCCTAGTCAGGGTCATTCAAGCCAAAGCTACTTTCTCAATGGACTGACCCTCTTACTTCGAACTTTATGAACTTGTCTAGATAAACATTCCACTGTTTCAATATTTCCAGGCACTCGTTCTTTCAGCATCTTCTGCAATTTCGGATCATCAGTGAACCCTCTTGACCTCATCTCAGCATAATAATCTCTTGCTTTGTTTAACATTCCACACCTACTCAGGCCTTCCACCAACATCTCATAATGTGCTTTGTCAGGCATCACTTCATACAGTTGCTTCATTTCTGCCCAAATATTCAATGCATTCTCAGCTTGCCCTAGCTTGAAGCACTTGGAAAGCAACAATAAAAAGGTTCCTCCAGTCGGACGTAAACCTTCCTTTCTCATTTGGCCAAGCAATTCCCAGCCGATGTTCAAATCAGAACCTTCTATAAACGCATGGTAAGTATCAGTAGTTGGTTTAACATTATCCTCAATCATGTTCGCCAATACATCTTTTGCCTCAACTAGCTTTTTTGCCTCGCATAATGGACGTATCATAGAATTATAAGTTGCAGAATCAGGCTGAATTCCCAGATGTTTCATTTTGTCCAGAATTTTCAAAGCTTCCTTGCATAAATTCTCACGAGTTAGAATAAAAATTAGCGAATTGTATACCTCGAGACCCGGTGACCAACCCCTTTTCTTCATTTCTTCATATAGCCGCATTGAATCGAAAAGATTCCCAATCTTTGAGAAGCAGGAAATCATAAGCGTATAAGAAGTTGCATTAGGCACGATGCAACATTTCGACATTTCCCTCCAAATCCTCTTTGCTTCAAGTATATCAACAAAAATATTGCACCACCCACTGAGGATGATGTTAAAACCATCAGTTTGCAATGGGAAAAGCTTCTTACTGAGAAACATAAATTCTTCAGCTTCTTCAATGTTTCCATGGTTACAGAGGGCTTTTAGCAAAGAGTAGAATGCATCTTGGTCTGGGGACATCCTGAACTTCTCCATGACACGGAATGTCCATATAGCTTTCTCCGGATTATTTGCAGCAGCATATCTAGCAAATAGAGGAGAAGTTAGTGTCAAACATCAAGATACCCTTCAAGGATAAAGTTGGAAGCTTCACCGTATCACCAATGTGGTCACTCTATCTCCAAACTCCAATTACACAGAAATTTCTGAACTTGCAGCATAATGAAACTGAAGAAATCCAGATTCTCACCTATCAATCATAACAAGCAACACGCTGCGGATACTCAACGAGGCACGATGCAAATCTCGAATTAAAGTCCAAGCAATGCCGAACTTGTGATGATTTCCCAGAACCCATACCAACAACTCGCAAGCTTTCTCATCAGCACACTCCCGTTTTTCTCCCCATTTGAAGGCCAAGAACGCGACTTTCCAGTTCTCCCTCAACTCCCAGATGACCGAGTACACTAGTTCCAAACTGGGCTTGATGCCGCTGTCATCCAAATATGTCGTAGCCTCTGCTTCAGTGGAGAACTGGGAAGCGACCGTAAGAGATTCGACGAGAGTGTGCTTCGAAGGATCATGGCAATCAATTCTTTCCGGAATCAACTCAAGAGCGGTTCCGAGATTTTCCGCGGAGACGTGTAGGTGAGACGCGAAACAGCGAGAAAGTTGGAACCGCACGCAAGGCGTTCGACGAAATGCCCAAGAGAAAGGAAAAATGGCAATCGACGTGACTAAAGGTGGGGAGGGGGCATAGGGTAACGGAGGAATTGAACGAGGGAATGAACGGAAAAAGTGAGGATGGAGTCGCCGGAAGATCGTTTTATTGGAGAAGAGTGACATGAGAAGTAGTATGAGGACCCGCAGCTGCGATCATCCCGGTGGAAACTCAATTGCCACTTGCCATGCCGGAAGACGGGAGTTATATTTTTTTTTCAGTAAAATGGCAGACGATATATTCCAACTTTGTAACGCCGACCACAACATTCGCGGTTGCATCAAGCATTCCTAGTCTTTTGATCGTGGCCCGTGGGCTTGGGTTTCGGCATTAGCATCTTATCTGAAGACTTAATGAAAAGGTTGTCAAATAGGTTTATATCATGTTTAGTTTGATAAGTGAAATGATCCTATCGAAGAATAATTAATATATGTCGGTTTTAACAAAATATGTATAAAAAAGGAAAACTATTAAAAGTAAATGTGCTGAGCATATATCCATAAAATATATTATAGGATTTCTCAATAAGCCCTTCTTCATTTCAAATTTTCTCGCATGTCATGTGTCCACGTCAGCACTATTTTTTTTTTCTCTCTCTCCTTTTACCGCGGATAAACATCCTGTTTGTTTCTACGAACCGCTAAAATATTTTTTTTATCTTCTTACAATTTTTAAAATTTTCCCTCTGTACATCCGGCGTTAAGGAGTTTACCAAAAAAAACTAATAAATATATTAAAATAAGTAAATCACTCCCCTTTTCCTTCTTTCTCTCGCACCAGATGTGTAGAATCCTTTTTTTACTAGAAATCATCATGCATAATTTAGTAATTATCCTTTAAAAAATAGAAAAACAATCCAACTTATTAATTACCAGTAATTGTGGCATGCTATAAAATATTAAGGTGTTTTGTTCTTATGGTCATGAAAAAGTACATAATTGGTCCATAGAATCGTGTTATTATTTTATTCTCAAACTAATAATTTGTGTCTCACCACGTCAATTCTAATTATTATTTTTTAGAAGGGATATACTATAAAACTCATCCCTATAAAACCACTACAATATCTTATCTTCTACCATCCATCCCTTTCCTCATCAAAGCTAGGGGGTTCAAAGCCAATTATGGTTTTATTTACTTTTATTTCAAACCGATTTTTCTGCATCGTAAATATGCTTCTTTCTCATCATTTTGCCTATTTCATTATTTTGCCTATATGGGTGATAGTTTAAGATGTGACCAAAATAACAAAAGTTTAGTGATTCAAACGTGATTTAAGTTTAATTAGTGTTAACAATTGCAGTATGCTATTCATACAAATATTATGGTACTAAGAATATGTGTGCCTAAGAATCTATAATTTGTTGAAGGATTATAAAGACGTCATAAATTCCCATGACATGACTTAACGCTTTGAGAATTGAATCATTGCAAGTAATTATGCTAAATGTTCTAAATTTTTGTTATAAACATAATAAATCACCATGGCATTAGTTAATGATTTGAGAATTAAATCATTGTAAGAGATTATGCTAAATGTTCAAAATTTTTTATAAAGGGCATAATCACTTATGAATTGACAAATGAACCAAGATTCAAGAATAATATTAATCGATTAAGAATTTGAACATTTTATTTAAGAAACATGTGAAACTAACATACTTTTAAGGTAGTTAAAAATATCAAAAGAAACTTAGGAGATAGAAAATATTTGAACATCCCAATATAAATGATAAAAAGAAACTGCCTGGCCATTGGCCGCGGACAAAGCTAGTATATATATATAAAATGACAAATTCTTATATTTAATGTCAATATTTAATGTCAATATCGAAATTTTTATACCTGAATCTAACCAATAATATCAACATTCATATTTAAATAAAATATATTGCAAACATAATAACAAATTTTCATATTTAAAACTTTTGTTAATTAAATTTACCAAAATGTCGTCACTTTTTCAAAGAAAGAAAATTGGACATAACAGTTGGACAAGTGATTTTTCCAATTTTGACCAGTATTCACCGGTTTTGATAGCCACTTCATACCGGTGTATTTCAACCAATTTTGCAACCATTATCGCTTGAACCCATATGCACCAAACGATATATCCATTATCTGGCATGAAAAAATGCTACTTGTATGCTTTTACATTAGAGAGTGTTAGACATATTGAATGAAAACAAATAACGGATAGACAAACAGATTTACGTGGTATCCCTGAGTGTTCGGGTCTGGGGTTTATCCATTTGAGGTTAGGATATTGTATCATACCCCAGACACGGTTTAATTCATGGTCTAGATAGAGATATCTCACTATGAGTACATGTAGCATAGTATGCTCCAGAAACACACGAGTAATATATATATATGGTGTCGTCTTCAGTGCACTCACTTTTTTTGTGTATTCAGTGCACTCGCTTCATAACCGTCATTTTAAACATGTGATTTATGCCAAAATGATGCAACCATCACTTATGATGTGATGAACAATAACGCACATGAGTTTGCACAAAAACCATTAAAGATTTACTTTAATTTGAAGGATTTAGAGTTTAGAGATTTAGGGTTAGAGTTAGCGTTTACAATTTGGGGTTTAGGGATAGAACTCAAAATTGGAGGTATAAGGCTTAGGGTAATCCGCTAATTAGTTGTTATCATATGTTATATCATCATATTACAGTAATTCTATAAATTAAAATTCAAAATCTGGCACCTTAGACTAGATTTTGAGTTGGGTGCATTGAACGCACTCATTTTTGTGGCCACATATAGCACAACTTGAGAGCAAAACCGAGCGAGAATAGATGAGGCAAGTAAAAGAGCTCGAGTCAACTCCATTGTATGGCGATTCTTTCGTTCAACAACACCATTTTGCTGCGAGACCCCCGGACATGACTTCTAGCAAATAATACCGTGAGATCTGTAATAGGCGAGTGGGGGTGAGAACTAAATTCTCCGTCGGGGTCGGATAGCAACATCTTTACATTTCTCCCAAACTGTGTGCAGATCATCGTGAGAAACTCAATGACTACATCATACACTTCAGACTTCAGGTGGAGGAAGTAAACCCAAGTGTAGCGCGTTGCATGATCGATAAATAATGCAAGGATTTGTAGCCATTGTGGAAAGTAGTAGGAGCCAGACCCCAGAGATCCGTATGCACCACATGAAAGGGGTATTAGATGATCATCTGGCTAGAAGGAAAAGAGATACTCTTTGCCTTGGCTTCAACACAGCTAGAACACGCAAGATGAATACTAGGAATAACCAATTTATTACTAAGGGGTCGTTTGGAAGTTATGATTGTTAGAGTTGTGTTTGTTGAATACATGTATTGTCCACAACACAATGTTTGGAAGTGCCAAAGTGTTAAACAATGCATTCATTGTTTTATGTAGGTCCCACCAACAATCAGAAAAAATGATGCATTATAAAATCTCAACTAGAAGTTGAGATTGTTGTGATTGTTGGTTTTAGATTTGTGTCAACTTTTTCTTTCCATTTATATCCCCAATAGTTTTTGTCTTATTCTAAAAGTTGAGGGTAAATGTGACATTTCTCCATAAAAGTAACTTTATGTAAATCAATGCATAAAGTAGAATCTCAACAACCAAGCAATGTATTGTTAAAATGCATCCATTGTATCAATACATGCATTTGTATCATGGTGATTCATTACAATGCAACGATTTAACATTCGCAACTTCCAAACGACCCCTAAGTAAACTCTGTTTGAACATAGACTATAACCGATGAGAATTGGGATGACCTAACTAACGGTGCCACAAACTCCTATGATTACTCGACTCATTTAATAAAAGAACAGGCGAAACAGGTAAAGGACGAGACTCACTAGACACCTGAATACAAGAAGACTGAGGAACAGACGCAGGTGATTGACTCGACAACTCCTCCAGTGTAAAAGTTTGTCCTTGTTTACTCCCCTCCCGATCAGCCTCCCCGTCGTCAGATCCTGCACAAAATACCCATACGGTGCGAACAAGACAGAGCAATTTTCATCAATAAGTTGGCCAACGGAGGCCAGGTTGGGGCTCAGCTGTGGGACGTGTAAAACAATAGACAAATTAAGCTGCGAGCTATGCAATGAACCAAGACCAACAACAGGGATGTGAGAACTATTAGCAACCTGAAGATGCAGACTCTTCACGGGCTTAATAGAGCAAAGTAAAGTAGAATCACTAGTCATGTGATTGAAGCATGCTAAGTCAAGCAACCATAGTTTAATCGTACCTGACACCTGAAGGGTTGCAAATGCGGAGTTGATAGCAGGGAGAATGGACTTTTGCAAGGCTGAATAGATCCTTTAATCTACTGTATTAGCCGGCAGGGACAAACCAGCTGCCTCGACTAGCTGAACAGCGTAGGACAAAGGGTGCAGCTCGAGGTGGTGCGGCGTCAAAGCGATCGGCGCTGGGAGTGTAACCTGCAACATACTGGGTGTGGTTCTTGAGGGTACGATAGTCACTTATGATATGGTCGGAGCGTTTACAGTAAACTCAAAATTTCCTCTTGCGACATAACTTCTGTACATGCCCCTTTTCGTCACAAAAAATACAGGTAAGCTCGTGGGAGGGAGCGCGATATTGAAAGTACTCGCGTTGAGTTGCATAGGGTTCGGTAACAGAATCCCAAGGTCAATTTAATTAGAAACAGTAATCGACGGTTATGATTCGTCCAAATATAGGCAAAAAATTAATGCACCATCTTAGGGTTTATAGTTTATGATTTAGATAATTAGTAGCTACGGTTCACTCATTAAGGGTTAGGGTATAGTAACATGCCCAAAAATCCTGCTAATTCGAGGTCTAGATAGCATTTTCATACTCAAGGCATGCAGTATCTTGAATTTCACCCGGGTACCATAGAAGGCACTATATATATATATATAACTCGACGGGCGTACAATGTACGACTGTCGTACGCTAGCTTGAACCATATATATATATATGGTTACGTCTTCGCTGCACTCACTTTTTTGGGTGCATTCAATGCACTCACTTTATAATTGACATTTTGAGCAAGCGATTCATGTCAAGACAATGTTAATCATCATGTATGATCCGACGAACAAGAAACCCCAAGAATTGGCACAAAAATTATTCTAAAGTTACATTAATTTGATGGAATTATGGTTTATGGATTTAGGATTAGGGTTAGGGTTCATGCTGTGGGGTTTAAGACAAAAGTTCAAAATTGAAGGTTTAGGCCTTAGGGAAATGCATTGATTAGTTGTTATCTTATGTTATACCATCATATTACACTAATCTTGCCAATCAAAATAAAAAATTGATGTCTTAAGGCTACTTTTAGAGTTGGGTGCATTGAATGCACTCATTTTTGTGAGTGCACCGAAGTAGCCACCATATATATATATATATATATATATATATATATATGGCACAACTTAAGGAAGAAGGGAAAAAGAAACCCTAAACTCTCTCTCTCTCTACCTAGTACACGTATACGCTGCATAGACTCCATGACCTGTACGTGCATGGGCCAACGCCCATGGGCTTTAACAAGAAGAACCTATAATGAGTTCTACAAACTCTCAGGCCTAAGGTGCAATGCAACCCAATGAAGTGTGATTCGTCCAAATATAGGCAAAAAATTAATGCACCATCTTAGGGTTTATAGTTTATGATTTAGATAATTAGTAGCTAGGGTTCACTCATTAAGGGTTAGGGCATTGTAACATGCCCAAATATCCTGCTAATTCCATCTCAAGGTATGCGGTATCCCGAATTTCACCCGGGTTACCATAGAATGCACTATATATATATATGGGGAGTTCTACGGTAATGATAGACCAATAATTACACATGTTTATACCCCTATTCTTGAGCCGTTGGAGAAGAGATTCTCATGTTTTAAGACGATTTCACGCTAGTTTGTGTGTTTATGTCATATTTCAGGGCTTGGCGTTGACGTTGAGGCGAAAAAACGAGTTTCGGGTCAAAAGGAGGACATTTGAGTTGAAGGGGGCTGGAGGAGCAAAATACCCGGCCGGGTAAAATGCAAGGCGAGGCCGGGGAAAAGCAGTTTTGGACGCCCAGAAGGTAGGGGGTCCCAGCCTGAGAGCAAAAATACCCGATCGGGTATTATCCCCTGTACCGCTGCGCTGCGTTTCGAAATCCCCGGCCGGGTACCTGAAATACCCGACCGGGGATTATGGTCGGAGATCGCAAGCAGCTGGTTTTTAAGGGAAAGAAAGCCAATTTTGCAAGGGTTCAGAGTTTTAGAGAAAGAAAGTGATTCCTATAGAGAGAAGGCGACGAACCAGAGTTCTCAAGCGCCTTAGATCGATCTTCATCATCAGTCGAGCCCGGATAACGCTTGGGGTAGTGCTGATTGACTACCAGAAGCAAAACCCCATCCTTCACAGCGTGTTTTTTTGCTTCTAAGCTAGAGTTTGCCTCTCTCTCCATGGAGTAACTTCCACATTCACCTGGGTATGAAGAACCCTAGATTTGTATGTTAGGTCTGATTGTATGAACCCAAGTATGAATCCATTGATTTGATTATATTCAATTGAGGTCTGATTTGTTGAATGGCATGAATCCTGATCAAATTCATGTTGTTTCTGCTTTGACCTAGAAAGAGAATATATGCCTAGGTTGATAGAGCACCCTTGATTGAAGGTAGTGAATTGACGACTTTAGTCGAGGAGTAAATTCACTATTATGTACCGGATTTACTTCGGTAGAGGAGGTTTGGTTCGTTAGGACCTCAATCTGTTTACTCCAATGGAGGTTAGTCGCCCGCTGGGGACTCAGATTGAGAGGGTCTGCAGACCTTTAGTCGAGACTGCAGACTGTTTAAGAACCTCCCACAGTATAACTATCTTTGAATTCAAACTTGGTAAATTACAATCTGGCTTAACTGCAATCAATGTAGTCAAAAGCGAGTTTCTATGTAGAAACGTTTTGGTGATCTAGAAGCGTAAAATCGTAAGTTTTTAAGTTTTAAAGCGGAGTTTTTAACTACATAAGTTATAAAAACTGAGATTTTGTGTAGAAGCGTTTTAGTGACCTAGAAACGTAAAATCGTAAGTTTTTAAGTTTTAAAACGCGATTTTGACTACATTGACTGCAATCTAGGGGGAACCATATCCGGGTGAGCTCTCTCAACTTGAAAACAACCTTTTACTGTTTTGCTTGCTTGTTTACAGAGACCTTCACTACGTTTAAACCACTAAATAATAAGAATTCACGGAGTAGCCAGCACACTTAGGACCCGGGTTGACATTAAAACCCAAACCCGCTATACTACGCTCTAGTAGGTGGTTAAACTTGGCCATTTTCTAGGGTGACAGTAGAGGCATGTCAACCCATAGTGAAATTCGGGGTACCGCATACCTTGAGTAAGAAAACGGTATCCAGAACTTGAATTGACTGATCTTTCGGACATAATACTATACTCTAACCCTTAAAGATCAAAATCTAGGTCTTAATTCTTTAAATCTTATACCCCAAGATCAATTTAATTGGAAACAATAATCGACGGTTATGATTCGTCCAAATATAGGCAAAAAATCAATGCACCATCTTAGGGTTTATAGTTTATGTGATTTAGATAATTAGGACCTAGGGCTCACTCATTCAGAGTTAGGGTATAGTATGATGCCCAAAAATCCTGCCAATTCGAGGTCTAGATAGCGTTTTCATACGCGGTACCCCAAATTTCACTCGGGGTACCATAGAAGGCACCATATATATACACGGCACAACTTAAGGAAGAAGGGAAAAACCGAAAAAGAAACCCTAATCTCTCTCTACCTGGTACACGTACACGCTGCATGGGCTCCCTGACTTGTACGTGCATGGGCCAACGCCCATGGGCTTTAACAAGAAGAACCTATAATGAGTTCTACAAACTTTCAGGCCTAAGGTGCAATGCAACTATAGGTGTCAATCGGGCGGGTTCGGGCGGGTTCGGGCTGGGTTCAATCGGGTTCGGGTTTAAATGGGTTGCGGGTTAGTCGGGTTGCGGGTTAGTCGGGTTCGGGTTCATCGGGTTCGGGTTCAAACGGGTTGCGGGTTAGTCGGGTTGCGAGTTCATCGGGTTCGGATTCAATCGGGTTGCGGGTTCATCGGGTTTTGGGTCGGGCGGGTTGCGGGCGGGTCGGGTTTCGGGTTGTTCGGGCCAGCGCATCAAGTAACTTAACTCATTACTCATTACCAACTTACACATTTTATTACACTAATTTAAAATATTTTCTCAACTTTTTAACCAATTTATTTCTACCTCGTATATATATACTTTATTTAAAAAAAAAACTAGTCAAAATGTTAAATCAATTTGTATGACTTGCAAACTTGTTATGTAATTAATCATAATTGGTAAAGTATTATAGCTAATAGTAATGGTGATATCAATATTTGCAACCAAAAGACACCGTTAATTGTTTATTTGATATTTTAGTATTAATTCAGTATTAATTGGATTAAAGTATCTCGTTTATTATAACCATGCAAATCTGGTATTTGTCGTGTGGTATTTGGCAAAAGCATAGTGATAAAACGAGTTATTTCAAAATAACTCATTGCCCAAATAATTTTAGTAAACTGTTGCCAAACGAGTTATTTGTAAAATTGTTTGAATTATCCTAAAAATTGAACCATTAAAGATTAGCTATCAAATTTAGTAAAATTATTGTGACTTCAATCATAACTTACTCAATAGCATATATCCTATACACTTAGCTTTACCCTCAATCAACAATATTAAGTTAGTATATGTTGTTGATTGTATACCCTAAACCATCAATACATTATACTTAACCACATAACCTATACCCTAACCATATGTCCTTGAGTTGTGATTTTGCTAGTATAGTTAATTTAAAAGTGAAATTCATACTTTGTTTTTCAAAACATAGATAAAAAGTGATATTTGCTAATTGTTATACCCTAACCATATATCCTATACTTTACACCACATACCTTGTACCCTAACCACGTACCATAAACATAAATTAAAAAGGGATCTCCTGCCGTTAAAGACTTCAAATGACTTCAAGTGAACATATGTTAATAAAAAACTTAGAACCGCCAAAACCATCAATATCTTATACCCTAACCATATACACCCGAAACCATATGTACCTTATACCTTATACCCTAACCATATACTTTGTATCCTAAACAACGAACTGTCAAAGATTACTTATCAAGTTTAGTATAAATTGTTGTAACTAATGGTTATTTTATTTATTAGCCCATAAAAAATTGCATACATATATACATATTAGCCTTCAAAACATATAAGAATAATTTTAACTAGTCATGCCCTCCATATAAAAGTTAAAGATACATATTTTAAAAGCTAAAATTATGAAAAACCAAAATATTGAAAACACCAAATTTGTTTCCTTCTTTCTTTTCACAAAAATACTAAAATTTCCCTCCTTCTTTCTCCTTCCATACATTAGAAAAACTCAATTTTCTCTCCTCTTTCTCTTCCATAAAATTGAAAGAACCAACTTACCCTCTTCTTTCTTTCTACAAAAAGTTGAAAAGTCAAAAGTTTCCCTCCTTATTTCTCTTTCATAATCAAATGAATCAAATTTTCCCACTTCTTTCTCTTCCCACATATCAAAACCACCAAAATTCCCACTTGTTTCTTTTCTAAAAAATTCAAAGAACCAAATTTCCCTCTTCTTTCTCTTCCCAAAAACTTGAATACACCAAAATTTCCCTCTTCTTTTAAAAACATCAAATTACCAAATACATTACTTTACTTTATTTATATTTAATTGATAATTTTATTGAATAGTTAAACTAACCAAAATTTTAATTTATATATTATATTAATATTGTCATGATCTCAAGTGACCTTCATGTTTCAATTTTTGTAATTTTCTTAAAATACGTAATATCAAGTGAGTTTCATATTTTTAAAATTTCTTATACGAAATGAAAAAATAATTTTACTTATGTTTTGAATGAAAAACTTTATTTTGAAAAACTATGTATTGTATATTTTTATAATTATTCAAGTGGATTAGATGAAATTCGGGTTGAGTCGGTCGGGTTACGGGTTAGTCGGGTTCTGGTCAATCGGGTTCGGGTTAATCGGGTTGCGGGTCAGTCGGGGTTGCGGGTCAATCGGGTTTGGGTTAATCGGTTGCGGGTTAGTCGGGTTGCGGGTTAGTTGGGTTGCGGGTCAATCGGGTTGCGGGTCGGGCGGGTTACGGGTTGTTGACTTTTAGTCAATTCGGGTTGCGGTCGGGTTACGGGTCGGGTTGATCGGGCGGGTTAATCGGGTCGGGCTATGTTTTGACACCTATAAATGCAACCCAATGAAGTGTGATGTTTTCTTTGGGGGGGCTGATTTTCTAGCAAGACAGTTGGCATGGGTTATATATAAAGCGGGAATTTTACCTGTTAGATTTCTAGGCTTGCCTCTAAAATCTGTGGAACTTTTTGCAGCTCAATGTAATGCATTGGTTGTTAGGATAACAAGCATATAATTAAATCTTGGAGATCTTACAAATTATCTTTATATTGGGAAGCTACAGCGGGTGGATTAAGTACTTTATTTTGTCACACAGAACTTAGAAGAATATCTTTGTGCTATCAAAGAAAGTTATAAAGAGTATATAGAAAATAGGGTAAATACAATATATTAGCCACAACTATTATGAAGCGGGAAATTATAGCCACAACTATGAAAATTCAAATTATTAGTCATAACTATTGTTGCGGGTCAAGATATGGCTAACTGTCCGTTACTATTATTGAATTTTTGACAGAGAAGGCCACGACAGCGGCCAGTGGCGGACCTAGGATTGTTGGAGAGGTGTGTCGCCGCTAATATAGAATAATAATTAAATAAAAAAATTAAGTAGAAATTAAAAGAAATTAATTTATGAAGTTCACAATGTCATTTTACAACGAATCACGACGACTTTTCATCTGCTGAAATGTCTCTAAAATACATTCATCACTTATGCTGCAAAGCAAATGTTTTTCAATATACACAACTTAACAATCATTTATAAACAATAATATTATACTCTAACCCCCAATGTGTGAACCGCAATCCCCAATTCACTAACCTAACATAAGATTCATTTAATCTTGAAAAATGAAAATCAATGATTCTGATTCGTCGAAATGATTGTTGAGTTTCATTTTAAGATTGACCAAATTTTGCAGTTTGGGTTAGAAAATTAGGGATTGGGGTTCACCCATTAGAGGTTAGGATATAGGATCATGCCTCAAAGTCCGGTTAATTATTTATCTAAATACCAAAATCCAATTGGCGTACGGTGGTCGGACGTACGCTAGCCTGAACTTATATTTATATATTTTGATAACTTATGACAATAAATTTCCATAAACACAATGGAGTTGTGTCGGATACAATGATCAGAGGTGTGTCGGAAATCCCGAGATCAAAATTTTAGTACCGACGAATTAGGGGTATTTCACAAAATTTTCGGGCGGAGGTGTGTCAGATGACACACCTCCCTTGTGCCTAGGTCCGCCCCTGGCAGCGGCCACGTCGGAATGCTTTTAATTTATAACTTTAAAACATAAAATTTTAGTGTGTATTACTAACGAAATTGTTAACAGAGAGTTAACGTTTGGCTAATAATTTGAATTTCCATAATTGTGGCTATAATTCCCCACTTCATAATAGTTGTGGCTAATATATTTTATTTACCCTATAAAATATGTTCAGACTTCCTTTGATTTTGAGAAGGAATATGTAGAGCAAAAGCGAAGTGAAAATTACTGGCAGGCCAAAAGAGGAAGGCAGGGTAGGTTTGAAAGGGTTAATTACTTGGAATGTGGCATGTTCTACAAGGTTATTCTGCATGCTACTCTAGAGATGTGGTTAGTTCTGGGATAGAAAGATATGGACTAAGAGATTAATGGGGAATTCCATACTTAGGTGAAGGAGAATTCAATAATTAGGTGGGGTCTTGGTTGTGTAGAAAGCTTCTGAGATCAAGGCATTGGTTTCAATATAGAATGGTTGTGGGTAGTAGGCTAAATGTCAAATGGGAAGGGGAAAAAGACTGAAAATTTTTCTGTCAAGATGGTTTGGCAATCTGATAGGATCCACCGATCAAGAGTTCCATGGTACGAAGTTTTATGGAGTGGATTTTTGTTCCCAGACATCACTTTTTTACTTGTTGGTACTCTAGAATAGAATCAAGACCAGAGTACAACTCAAGAGCGGCGGATTCTCTTGCTCTTTTAATAACTGTCTGTCGTGTGATTTTGTCGCAAGAAAATCAGAGATCGCTTGCTCTGGAATACAATCTTTTAAACTAAATGAACACAAATTGATCAGAGAGATCGTTTGATTCTAAGCAGTACTGGTGGTCGGTGACTACCACTCGCCACAGCAGTCAGAGAAGGCGAACTATTGGGAAACAAGCATAATTGCCATAACATCATTATGTACACATTGCTACTTCCGGTCAACCTTACAGTCGTCAATATTTACAAATGCAGCCACAACCTTTTTTTCTTCTCTATCAAAGGTGGGCCTCAGGACGCAGGCCCAAGATTGGCCGTCGGATTGGGCCCATTGACATAGTTACATGGAAACCCCCGAAATAACAAATATGTGCGGACGCTGCCGGAAATCATAAAATATTCACATCTTCTTTCCACTTCCTTCCCCTCTCCCCCAAAAAGCTTTGATCTCACAATTGTCAAATGTAAGGGTTGATGTGGGAAGTGTAGTCCCTGATTCCGGCCCCTTCCCAGCCCATCCATTCCTCCCACATGTCCCACTCCGCCTCCTCCATCCCTCTCAACGGCTCATCTCCCTCTTCATCATCCGACGGCCCATGCGCCGCCGACGACGACTCGTAGTAGGACCCATACCCTTCGGACGCTTCCTCCCTCAGATTCCTTATCGCAATCTGCATACCCACCAAAATACAACAATCATAAGAATTTCTCCTCTCTATCAAATTATATTATTGTTCTATGTGGAGTTGTTAGGATAGCATATGGACACGACAGACCATCTGGGGCCCTGGACCTAGACGTAAGAATACTAGTGGTGGTGGGTGGAATATAGGTCCAAAGTAAAGGAAATAAGGAATAAACTATTGGCTTCGTTGATTCTTTCTTTTACAAGAAGAGTGTTTGGTAATTGATGTTAACATCCTAACCGCACCCAGATTTCTATGATAGGTCCCACCTTTCTCCATGCGTACACGCAATCCGCCTACTACCGGAATATTACATCCTGAAACCATCTCTAAATCGCCATAAATCCAACGATTGAGATCTCGAATAGTACAGTTTGGATGGTAGCTAAAAATTGGCATAGACGAATGCTCGACTGTAATGATTAAGATTCGTTAAGCCAACCCAACTAAGGCACCTAAGCATTCCGAATTTGACACCATTTTTGCCTTTTCCCGGCCATCTACCTTGTTCTCTGGGAATTGAAAAATAAGGACATTTTACAGAGCCCCACGGCCTTAACTCAAGACCTAATCATATCAATGGTTCAAGGAAAATATAACTAAGAAATTCACAAGGAGTGAGTGAAGTTTATCGAGGGATTGGCTTACATCGTAGGCTTCATTGATTTGGCTGAACTGAACTCCGCAATTGCTCCCTCTGCACACATCCGGATGATACTGATGTAGAGAAACAACCATGAGATTAGAAGACTAATTTTTCGCTCAGATCTCGCGAATGAACGAACAGGGAGTGAAGAAACCAAAAAAAAAAAAAAAAAGGCAAGCTAAGGTACCTGGAGAGCGAGCTGACGGAAGGCCTTTTTGACCTCGGATTCGGAAGCTCCAGGCTGGATCCTCAGCGTCTTGTAAGGATCCATCACCGAATAGGAAGATGAAGCCACGCACAACATTCGCGAACAGTTCTGATTCCTTCCGGTAACGGTATTGTTCCTCGCCCTTCTCCGGCTCCGGAACCAGGACGTCGAGGAAGATCCGCCACACCCGCTCCCTCCGATCATTCCCATAGCCGCGGCCGCGCTAGCCATTTTTTTTTTTCCCCCGATGAAATCAAAGCCTTAGAGCTCGCGAACCAAAGGCAGAAGGAAAAAAAAAATCGAGAAGCAGTGAGCAGAAATGAGGACGAATGAATTGGAACTGGAGGGAAATTGTTTTCTTTCTAATTTCTTGTGGATAATGTGAAAGGAGGAAAAAGTGGGGATGTTGAGATCTGAAGGCGCTGTGGAGGAGGGGACTGTATTTACTATTTATAATAAAAACCCATTGAATGAATTCGGAGGAGAGAACAGGAAAACGGAAAAGAAGGGGGGGAAAAGGATAAAAGGAAAAGTCCTTATCCAAAAGTCACCGTCCCGAGTGGAGATGACGTGTTAACACCGTTATGGGGGGAGGAGGATAAGAACGTGAAGGGGGTCAGAATTGGTGTGATTAAAACTGAAACCGACTTTTCTGAGTTTTCCGCTTTGTTTTGTTTTGTTTTGTTTTGTCTTGCGGGGCAGGCAGTTTCGTGAATTAATTAATAGATTTTTTTTGTTATTTTTATTGTTTAGTGATAAGTAATAACAAAGTTCGCTATTATTTTCTTTGGGTAGGGTTTCAGGCAGGGAATATGCTCTTAACGTTTGCCTTTCCCATTTTGCAATTTCCTGGTTTCGGTAAAGTTGTTTTGCTATTTCCCCTTTCTTGCAATTTATCCTTGGTAACACTTGCCACAAATAATAAACCTAATAATTCCTAAAAACAACAAACTGACTTTTCGTAAAAATCATGGTATTGCCGTAATAGTAGACAGTGTTCTACTGCTTTTTTCCGTAGTGGTATTGGTAGTAGATGTGGCAATTGGATCGGATTCGTGGATTCGTGCATTGGATTGCTGGATCAATGGATCAAATGGATTTGATTCAATGGATTGGTGGATTCATGGATTGGATCAAATGGATTGGTGGATTGATCCATGAATCCAAATGGCATCCAAGGTTTGGACCAAGATGTAAAATTTGAAAAGTTTTGGTACTAAAATGTCATAATGCAAAATTTTATGTACCAAATTGTAATTTTCCAATGATATTTGTCGTATAAAAATATAAATTTTAGGTACCAATATATAAAATATAAAAAATATAGGTGCCAAATCGTAATTTGCCATTTGGATCCATGGATTGATTCATGAATCCACCAATCCAATTGGATTTAGATCAAATGGATTGGATCAGGTGGATAATTTGGTGGATGGATTGGATCCATGGATTTGGATCCTAATTGCCACCTCTAATTGGTAGTCATGTACTGATTGTTGTCATGTACCAGTATAGATTTTTTATGATGATGTTGGTTATCACTAGGGGTGGGCAACGGGATGGGACGGGATACCCGTCCCGTTTGAAACGGGTACCCAATCCCGTTTGGAGATCACCAAAGTCCATCTCATGTCCCAAACCCATATGGGTAACAGGTACCCATTACCCGTACGGGACGGATAACGAGTACCCATATTACCCATAAATACATGTACGACAATCATCACCTGAGGGCTACGACGTTCGAAATTGGAGAGTTGAGCTTGAGCAGAACTGTCGGGTGACTACGGCTGGTGGGTGACGGCTTCGACGACGGTGAGTCGTATTTCCCAGTCTTGAAATAACCCAATTCAAAAACTCCGCCTGCCGATACGATGGTGTGGTTGCCGGAAAGTGCACGGGTTGGAGTGATTCTATACCGCTAGAGGGGATACTTGACTTCGATGATGCCTTGAGCAGTTACGGCGGAGGCCATCGATGATGGGATGCAAAGAAGGCGGTGCGGCGGCGCCGGCGAAGTCTCAGGCGGTGGACCAGTGGTTAGGGTGAGTAGTGACGAGATGATAGGAGTTGTGGCTGCGCGGTGACTGCGCCTCTATCGCAAGGCCGTGGAGAGGGTCGAGGGAGAGCTAGCTAGGTCACTCGTCTGTTGGGAAGGGTCAAAGGACAAAAGGGTTTTTCCATTCTGGATGGGTTGGGCCTATGTGATTGAAGACATGCTTTCTGTCTTTGTTTTTTGAATGGGTATAACGGGTATCCATATTACTCAAATGGGTATTTGCGGGTAACCCGCGGGTACCCAAATTAGGAATATACAATCCCAAGTCCCGTCCGTTAATAATATTACGGGTAATATGAGTACCCGTAACCCGCAAAAAACGAAACGGGTACGGGTATACCCAAATACCCGTTTCATATTGTCCACCCCTAGTTATCACATAATGGTACAAATTTTTTTTGTATTGATAATAATTTCATGTATTGATACTAGTTTTAGTTAGCCGGCTTGAGGAAATACAGATGGCGGCGGTCGAGGAAGCACAACGATGGAGGCGAATAGAAGGTAGGGAGGTAGAAGTATGAAGTGGAATACGTAGAGAATGGTTTAGTTTTGAAAAACGTTTCTTCTCAAATGTGGTTAACATATATTTCTTTTTAAAAAATGGTAAATTTCCACCTTCTTCTTGATTGTATAAGGTGGGCACCATAACCTATCCCTGGATTCAGTTATCTTCTTGTTTTCATTGTGTGAACCATTTTCTTATTTTTTTCGTTGATTTTTTATTATTATTTTTAATGAACATTATTACGTGAATCTTTGAATGATAGATGTATTAAAAAAAAATTTACATTTGATTGAGTTAACCTTGTTGTCAAAACAAACAAGTGGGCAGTTCAAGTTACCGGCTTGTTGATTGATTTTCCTGAAAGGAATCCGTAGGTCAATTATTATATACCTGGTTATTGTTATATTAAGTTTTGCTTTCGTTTTCAATCTCATGATAATTACATAATTTAGTTGCTTAGGAAAGATATTATGTCATGCACATAGAATGTACCTAGAAGGTCTCTTCGCATCTTGATTGCAATTTATTTAAATCAAACGCGCCTACAAATTTTATGGTGATGATTATACAACAATTTCACATTAACATTATCGACATTTCGTCCGCGTAACATTGTCTGTATAGGATACAGATTTAAACTAATAATAATAAGAAGATTTTGTCTTCAGGGTACATAGAAATTAATTTTGTTTTCCAAATTAAATTATAAACATTAGGGGTAGGTAGGACACAAGAGGGCTCCTAATTGCCGAATCACATTACATTATCACTCTAGGATCTGTTAATTAATTAATTAATAAATATATATTATTATTATATATAAAGAAGAAGCAAAGTTACTGTTGGCTAATTATTTGCATTTTGATACTCCAAATTTAACTAAATCACAGTTTAGTCATTATAATGTACATTTTACATTTTGATACCCAAATTTAGTTTTAATGTAAAATCATTGAACAATTATTTTTTGTTATCTAAATTTTTTGAGATTTTCATACCTACAATTTATTTTAGATTTACATATTGGTCCAATGTTTATATTTCACTTGAATCCATGAATCCAATCCACCAATCCTTTTAAACCAATTAAATCCAATCCACCATAACATAAAAGTATAAATTTAATTTGTATAATACAAGATGTTGTATCACTCAACCGTTGGAGAAGATTCGACCATTTTATATTTGCTAATTACGTGAATCATTAAATAAATGATTAATGAGAGAAGACTCTAAAACATTAAAAGAGCGAATTTATAAAATCATTTAGTACATTTACGGGGTACTAAACAAACTTTTATTAACTACACGTAACAAAATATGCCACATCTACATAAGCAAGTGTCAATAAATTGCTACGGTGAAAAGGGTTGATTGTTGTATATATTGACGTTCAACTAAATGAAATTGTCAAAACCTTTCTATCATCTACTTTTTCTTCGTTTCATTTTTCACTTGCCCTCCATAACCCTTTCTTTATTTCTTTCTTTGCCTTCTTCGTCTAACCCTAATTAGTATAGTATTTTTATGTATTCTAATCACAAGTATAAACGGGTCCATACACGACTCACCAACAGTCGAGAGAACTAATAATTGAACCATGAACCACTGACTTTTTCAGCTCGATATCCATTCCACTAAAAAATAAATAAATATGGTTATTACTTATTAGAAAGTCGTTATTTTTCACTATGAGATTTAAGGGCATGAAATTTTGAGCGAGTTCCGGTTTGTATTCGTTTTGCTTCTCTATATAGTTTTTCTTTTCCACCCGGGCTAGAATTTTCAACAATTATACATGTAATGTTTGTCTAGGTATCTACACATATCAAATAAATAGTTTTATTTTTCTATAAAAAAAAGTAAATGACTATCATCTTAAATACATCACCAGGAATTAAACCTCAACTATGCAAATCACAGTTCTGTAACTAAATTTCATAGATCTTTAGATTTATAACCTAAATTTATTTTTTTGCATATAAGTCCTCAAAATGTTGATGAAACATCATTTTAGTGCCTACTTTTTTTGTGTTACATTTTGGTACCTAAACTTTTAAAGTTCTACAAATAGGTTTAAATTTTGTATGTGTAATTAAACGCTCTTGAATAAATGGGTATCCATACCCAATTCACACATTTAGATTATCAAAGTAAATATCCAAATCCTACCCAAAACCATCTACAAACTTCCAAACCCATATATACGTCACCTATTACCTACATATAATCAATGGGTCTACTTGGGTTTAGGTAAATATCATTTACAAGCCAAAAATTTTAAATTGGATGTTGACCGTCATATTTCTCTTCTCAGTCAATATCATATGGTCAAGCCAATATTACTAACAAAACTGCTAACAAAAAATTATTTGTACGCTAATAATGCTAACAAAACATCATAACGGGACACATAATACATGCTCATAGGCCATCTCTATCTGCGACAAGGCGCGACATCACTACCTAGTAAAAATTACAATCAGAAGCAAGATTACTGTTCACTAACTTGATATATAAAGAGACTGTTACACACCGCTCTTCCCAAAAGTCAAAATGACTATTTTACCCTTGAGCAAATTCATCAAGTTCCGCCATATTATGGATGAGGATTTAAAAACATGAACTACCGGTGCGAACGGCGTTAAAATTCGATATAAAATGAAGAGGTTATGAATATAAATTGGATTTTCGGATCAGGAGTCAATTTAGTGTTCGAGCTAATCTGATTTTGTTATTTGGGCTGGCATGGAATTGCAATTAAGTCGGCCTGTTTTGATTCTCATGGGCGGCCCAAGGAGAAGGAAAAGGAAGTGAAGGAAGGGAGAAGTGAGCCGAAACTCACTTGTGATGGGCTTAGCCAGAGCTGAGAGAAGGGGAGGAAGTGTGGGCTGGCCTGTTGGCCCAGTGGAAAGAAGAGGAAGAAGGGCTTAAGCCCGTGTGTGAATTAAAAGGGGGAGCAGGTGTTATGGGTTGGTTGCTGAAATGGGAAGAAGAAGTGGGCTTTAGGCCCGGGAAGGAGAATAAGTGGATCTGGGGGAAAGGAGAGGGGCGAAGCCCATTGGCGCCGAAAGAGAGGAGAGGTTCTCCCCTGAAAAATCGGCCAGAAGCAGAGCAACTGGCGGGTGCAGAGTGGCAGCGGAGAAAAAAAAAAGAAAAAAAGGGGAAATCGGAAAGTAACTGTCGATTTAATAGGGAATTAAAGCAGTACTTAGTTAGGGTAAATTAGGGTGAGATCGGTTCATTGAGGGTAAGAGGAAGCACCTCTATTTTTATTCCCAAGCGAGAGGCAGGGAACGAGAAGGAAGAGAAGTCTGTGACGATTCTTACGACTTGGACGTTGGCGCAGCAATGGAGGGGTCGACGGCTCGACGCGAGCTAAAAGGGGAGGCAAGAGGATCTGAACCCGAGTGGTGGCCCGTGGACGCAAGAGAGAGCTCGGGAACTCAACGACGGCGGCCGTAACGGGATCGGATGGTGACCACATCAATGGCAATGGAATGGGTGATGATACAGTGGTGAGACCACGAAGTTACCCATGGAAGCGGCCTAGGGCTTGGGCGGTCCGGAGCTGGCCTTCGATGTGTGGACCGAGGCGCAGCGGCGGTGTGAACGGCATCGACGGCGAACTTCCGGAAAATACAATCGCTGGGCTGCGGTGTCCGAGGAGGAGGAAGAAGAGCCGGAGGAATGGGCTCGAGGGAGGAGACGACGACATCGTGGAGGTAAGTGGTCTCCCACTTTGTTGGAATTCAATGGCATCAATTTGGAAATTTGATGAATAGTTAGGGGCGTATATGTCTTTTTGGCGTTGGGGCGATTTGGTAAAAGTTAAGAATTTTGGGCGCCGTAAAGTAATTGACCAGGCTTGGGGGCGAGTTCGCAATTGGTGGATGTTTGGATATCAGGTTGGAAATAAACCGTTTAGACTGAAATGTTTAAATCAGAAAGTGGAAATTGGTCTGGAGCACTGAATTGAGAAATTCTGAAAATTTGGGGCCGAATTGATAAGACCCAGGAATTTCGAGAACCATTTGGTAATTTGCCATTTTGGGGCAAAAAGGTAATTTTCCAGAATTTTATGGGGAATCCTAGAAAAGATTAAATAGAGGATATTGGGATTGAAATTAACCAAATTGGAGTTCGTTTGGTTAGTTACGCTTGGAGATAAGAGAGTTAAGTTTTGCCTAAATACCTAATAGGAGGATTTGCAAAAGGAGGCGAAGCACGAGGAGTTGGAGCGTGGAATTTCGGGCGATGACATGGATCAGCTAGCAGTGAAGAAGGGTCGTCTTTTCGAGGTGAGTGTAATGGG